TGAAGAAGAAAATGAGAAAACACTAACAGCTGACTTCTCAAGTGAAGATACGTTCTATTCTCTTAAAGCGGACCAGCGGCCAACGGCTCTAAATATAGCGATTGCTACACCGCATGAACGCTTCAAGTGAGTGTGAATTGTTAGTTATCTATGGGGATATTTCTTTAGCTCAGCATTTCTTAAACTGTGCTCTGTGGAGCTCCGCAAAGCAGTTGGAGGTCCACTAAAATTTTGGTCATATTACGGCAAATGATTAGAGTTAAAATGTAGGTATTGTTTTATTTTAGGTCTTCGTCTAATTATTAACTTTCTAAAAGGCTATTATCAACAAATTAAGTTGGGAATCGATTCTCTAACTATATTTATACTATATTAGAATAAATAAATAAAGCGAGTATAATATTAGTAGTAAAAATCTAAGCTTCGATGTTATTTGCATTATTAAAGATGAACTTTTACAGAATTATTAATAAACAAAGTTTAGAAGACTGCACTTAGTGTTAGTCAAAATTCATATTATTAAACAGATAATTAACAAAGGTCAACCTAGTACGAGGTTCTACGGGAGTAATATTTAGTCCTAGAAGGTAGTAGATTTGCTAATTCTCTATATGATATGAATGGATTAATACTGAAATTGCAATTTTGTGTTAATCACCTAATTTTTCCTGTTACTTTTTAAAGTAGCAAAATAAATTATAGGTAAAAAAGTAGCAAAAAAATATTCATGTAAATAAAAAGTACATTAATTAAGAGCGATTTTTGATAACACAATACGTGAATCATAAGCGCCGAATATCCCCACACCTCGCCTCATTTTTTGAAAAAGTATTGGTAAATCATTGGTATAAAAATATTCATTATTTTTTGTTTCTGTAAATTAGATAGATTTATACACTATCTACCACTAAATAACGCCCATAAGGATAATACATTTGACGAATTCCGTAACCGAGTGGTTGTGGTACATTCCTTGTCTCAGATACTTCATAATATTGGGCTTTAGCTACTCATCTTGGAATCTGAGCAATCTATGTGATATTTATTTATTGTTTTTACGTTAAAAATTAATGAACACTTTTTCTTACAGAGCTATAAAAATAATAAGCGAGTTCGATAACAACGACATCACGGGATCGTTCGTAACCGACACCATGGAATATAACATCACTGGCAAAGTTACCAATCGGGAGCCACTTGAGGTAATTTAATTGCATTTCTTATTTATAATATAAATACAATTTATGATTACTATAATAACATCTAAAATTGTTCAAGTTAATATTTCTTTCGTCTTTTTAATCTTAGTCTTCTTATCGTTATTAAGTGATATTATACTTATGATACACGAGTATATCAGTGCAAGTATATCAACGCCTGTCAATCACTCAATCACGTTTTCAAGTTTATTACGATAGAGTAAAAAAGATACATACAATAGAGTATCTGTTTGAAATAGTAATTGTAAGTATTTAATTTAAATAATCCATTAAAAAAAATATTCCTAAAAAGTAAATGCGTTTTTGCTTTAAAATTAAATCAGAATTTAAACTTATTTTATACCCGCGAAAAATCTGTCCGATATATTCATGACGTCATTCGGATATAAAACAAATGCACAGAGTAGCAGCGTAAAAGATGTCAAAAAATTAAAAACAGTGCCATCTAAAGTTCGATTACAAAATAAAAGAAAATATATATAAATTAAGAACAGCGCCATCTAGGAATTTGATGTATAATAAATAGGTGCTGTTTACGAATAATCTGACTGCTTTCACCAGAGTGACGTCACAGAATGGCGGGTCGTATTTCAAGTCACATGTAAAATATTAAAAAAAATCTTGACATTTTAATTTTCAGATACTTAGATAGTCATGTTATTTTATGACTCAAAATCTTTATGTTTATTACAATATAAATTTTAGTTTTTGTGCAATTTCGTGACTTATTTTTCACCACCGAAACTACCCTATTGCCTTCGTCTTGTAGATGCAAGTAAGGCTGGTTCCTGTCAGCGAAGGGCAACCTATAGACATACAGATGAAACTGGAATCGTCCACTAAACTGTACACTATACTCGCACAACTCTCCGGTCCCGTGCAAGCTACTTTACGTGCCGGCACAGCGATGGAAAAAAATTACACAGATGTCTACTTTAAGGTTTATACGTTAATTATACTAATGCTACTCTCTTCTTCAAATTGAAGTAAAAAAAAAATCTCCTCAAATCATTGGACATTGTCCGTCCATTATACGTTCAGACCCATATATGCTTCTTATACTCACCGATGCACCTATAGAGCATTAGGTTAATTATAAAGTAATAGCAATAGACAACATCACATACAATGACAGGTATATTGCTCAGATCCCAAATTAAGTAGTTAAAGCACTTGAATTATAAAAATCTGAAATAACCGACGACCCGAAACAATATATAAAATTTAATTTTCCATATTTAATCTACCGGTAATCGATACGGGACCTCAGAGATAGCGAGCCACTCGGTCAGGGAAAAGTAGCGATGCTCGCAGAAATACTTTGTATTGAAATTAAAGCTTCCCCTTTAGCTGGACTCACCGCAGATACGGAACAAGGAGATATATTTTAAGTCCCACGTGGACTCTTACCCTGGACTCAGACGAGCATTCAGCATACAGGCCGCCACCCCTTTCAAGAGGATCAGCTTCATCAAAGGCGATGCTGACTTTGTGTGAGTATCTCAATATCAAAATAGTTTTTATTCAAATATCGAAAACACCTTGTGACGGGTTCGGTGCTTGTTGTTGTTGGAAAATGAAACGGCATAGTATATTTATAGTCCAAATAAGAAAAAAACTGTAAAAACAAAAAAAAAGAATATAAAAAGCAGTTTTTATGAATTTCTAAAATTATATAAGTAGTATAAGTAGGTAAAACAATTACATACCCCTCTCCTGGGTTTTAAAATAGATAGAACTTAGTGAATACTTCGTAGATACATATTTTTATTAAATTACATAACATGTTTTCGCTGGGTAAATTTTCACGAATTGACATACAGAAATAGCATATCGGGTTACTCAAAATTTCAAATCACGAAAAATGAATAATGAAAAAGAAATTATGGTAAAGATTAAAGACAAAAAGTTTTGATGCGTACACCTAGGACAAAATAAACGGTGTGGTACGACGCACCGTTACATCCTTTAAATCACTTACCAGCCATTCTGGGCCGAAAACATTAATCAGCCATTCAAGACATCTGTAGTCTGAAAAGAAATTTGATCTTGATATAATCATAAATTATAGCCCTCTGTCTGACCAGTAGCTCGGTGGCGTAGTGAATAAGCGCCGCGGCCCCCGATCGTAGTCGTTAAGCAACTTTCGCAAGGGTCGGTCACGGGATGGGTGACCAAAAATTATTGTCTCGAGCTACTCCGTGCTTCGGAAGGCACGTTAAGCCGTTGGTCCCGGCTGCATTTGCAGTCGTTAATATCCTCCAATCCGCATTGGGCCAGCGTGGAGGGTCATGGCCCATCCTCCTTAACCATCCATAAGGAAGGCCTGAGCCCCTGCAGTGGGGACGTTAAAGGGCTGGTGTGTGGTGTGTGTGTGTGTGTCTGACCATTTCCACAATTTATTCTGAGTCGTTTATGAAATATCGGTATCTAATGCGAGCCAGTCTCTAATAACGCTACTGAGATTATCAAAACGTGGAAACCTATCTATCAAAGAAGTCTAGTATCAAGTACTTTGATTATATATAAACCTTCTGAACGCAAAATGTCTATAAGCAAGTGTTAATTTTCTAGATTTGGCCCCAAGACCGGTTACTTACTTTGCAACTACGAATTACCTGATATGAAAGGAGAAGGCGATCTGAAATGGAGTTTCCTCATAGGCGATCTGTTTATAAAGGTACGTTATAAGTATTGTTACTGATACATATTACATTTTAAAATTCGTTTATCACCATAATTTTTTTATAAACTCCTTGTGCATATTCAAATGTTTTTTTTTACCGTCTAATACAAACAAAATCAGAAGTTGTAAGAAACGTCATTTCTCTTAGGCTTTAGGTCACCAGCTGGTGAAGAAAATCCAGAAGAGCGTGGATCTGGACATATACTTTGGGAACAGCACCTCGCCCGACGGACTTGTTTCCACCGACGCCGGCTTCAGAATGGATTTGGATCATATTTGGCAGTCAGTTTATAATATTACCTTATACTTTGTAATTGAAATCTTTTGATATTTTCCTCAATACATTATACCTCGTTATTTACATCAAGCAATATAAAATATAGATAAATATAACAATAGTTCAGAGACACAAATTCATATAAAAAAATATGATGACGAAAAGTACCTACTCGTGCGAATTAACAATGTCACCTGAAAGCCTATTCTATTTCTCCAAAAACGAAAATTCATCTGTTTTCTAAATGCTTATACCTACTACTCCAAAGCAACGCATTTTGCGATATTTTATGATGTAACGACCTGATACTGCATCCGCTTTCAAATAATTTTCACGGATATCGATACAAAGTGCCCGAATTTTCATGGATTAACATAATAGGCCCTCAAGTATCAATACAATATTTGCAAGATGTCAAATTGGTAACTCGTCAATATTTTTGGGTGGTCGATTATAATAATATTAGTTTATTTTTGATATATGAACCATAAACAATCACGGAGAGAAAATAAATAAACATTTAAACGTTATTTACACTAGTCATTTATTAGATTTGACAACCAGTGGCGTATCTATACTGTTTGAGGCCCATGGCAAATTCATCGGATATTCAATATTTTTTACTAATTGCGTAATAATAAATGTCAGGAGTAAGTAGTCCTCTGACCGGGGGCCCCTTCTAGCTGGGGGCCCGTTGTATTTTACCGATTTGTCACCCTGTAGCTACGCCACTGTTGACATCATTAAAATGATTTAATTTGTATTATCATCACAGAATCGGTGGTAATGCTTCCTTCGGTTACATAATGGACCAGCGCATAAGTCTTCTGATCAACGCTATACTGCCCAAACCCAATGTAGACGTACATACGTTACACATTGAAGGCTCTCTGGGAACTAACAATGATCCTACCAAGACATTAGACGCACAGTACATGACTGACGTTACTAAAATCCTCACCGGTGTTAAGGGAACTGTAAGTATTGTTAGATCAGGGGCTAATTGTCTAATTTTAAGATCTGGCAGAATCCCTTTCAATTTTGACATTTGAAAGATATTCACGAACTTCACGCTTCTTGGTGCCATAATTGTCACTTGAGAGTGACATTTTTTAAGATATTGAATAGACTATATCATCAATTTGACGTTAATTGATCTTTTTTAAGGCAAGCGATACATGCTAATATCTTTGAAAGCATTGAGAAATGTCTAAAAGGAAAGCGTTGAATTGTACTGCTATCAGTCGATGGTTTAACTAAGTTTTTATTGTGGTTTTGATCATTCAAATCATCATTTGTTCCAAAAAGAATTACGACTTCAAAAGTTACATAATTCTATAAATCGCTATACCTTTCAATATTAAACAATAAACATTTAGTAAAGTAAGATACAACTGATGTACCCACACAGACAACTAAATGTCGAATGTCCGCCAATCAGAAAGATTCAAGTATCACATCATATGGCGATCCACCAATATCCACGCGCCTGACCTATGCTGAGTGTGTGTGAGACGGATATCTAATGCGCAACACATTATGATTTAAACAAGACTCACTATAAATTTGATTCGTACACTAGAACATCGTCGTGATTGGTAGATCTACTCTGCGCAAACGAAGATTCACTTTGCAACATACTATACATTTTTTTAAAATAACAATTGCAAATTTTTATATTTGTACAATTTCGCATTCACAATACTATACTGAAAAATATTTGACCAAGACCAAGTATATTCAATTTTTAAAAGTATTTTCCATTAAGAATTGCAAGTTTGGTATACAAATCTTAATCAAACTATATTAATTCGATAATTTTTATTAAAATTTACACATTCTTAAGAACCGAGAAAACCTTGCTGAATTACCTAACTTAATAATGGACTAAAGCAACAGTAATTTATTCTTATCCTAATAAGGTACTCGATCTTCATTGTATCCGTTCTAGTAACTGTGCTACGAAATTGTGTTTTCCATTTATTATTCATTTCCAGCTACTGCTGCTGCCAGAGAGTTTTGACACTAACTCAACAATAACATGGACGTCTAGCTCTCAATATAGACACATTAACAACTTGCTCTACTACAAGTGGGACGTGAATGGGTCGCATTTCGTAGACTACGCGCTCACCTCACCTATTTATGAAGATGTAGAAACGTTCAAGTTAAAGGGGTCGTATCAGAAAGACATGGTCCATAACCATAAGATTATCAAGTGAGTACTTCCTTTATATTCTGTTAGTCTACACATTAAGCCCGTTCTCATACTGAACTAATCTGAGAGAACTTGTTCAAACTCAAATTATGAAGATCATCAGTTGCAGCTGTGAGCTGAGCTAAGGCTGACATCGAACCAGAATAAAATCGTTTATTCAGTCTAGGTTTATACACAACACTTGTGCAAGTCAAAAACTACGCCAACGGTTCACTAAACTACGGCGGGAGATCTTGTACTGAGAAAAACCGGCAAGAAACTCAGCACAGGCTGCTTTTTTTCTCCTCGTTTTATTTCAAACAAAGAAGTTTTGTTGTACAGTGACTTCATTAGACTATGAAGTCACTTTCCATTAAATTAATAATTCAGATTCAGGAAATAAATCAAATCAATCAGTTAACCAAAACAATTGCTTGTGAAAACTCAATCTGTCATAAGAATTTTGTCTATTACTAGTATGAAGAAGTTCATATTATTTCGTACTATAATTAAATACGTTTCCTTCGCATCCATCAGCGCGGTCGACGAAGATTAATGTACTTTTAGCATAAACATTTCATATGGGGACACTGTATGTCACAGTCTATTGATGGTTAAATTCAAAATTGAGTGCTATATATATGACTTACCATATAAAACAAATTGACTCTTTTTTTTATTTGATCAATTTTGCATTCTTAAACATTCCACTTTGTCTCTGGCTCTCTGAGATGGGATTCGAACTCTAACCACTGAGCTTCCCAGGACCTAACAGGACTAACGAACTTTTCAAGCACTTGTTACTTCTGCGCTACTAAAAAGCGTATCATCAATGTTCTGGCAATCTACCTAAACAGCCGAAAGAAATATTTTAACAAATAATTAAACTTTAGATAAAAATGAAAATTTGTTGTATCAAAAATGAAATTATGGTATCCTTGTAAATGATACAAGAGTTTTAATTTCAAATGATCCCCAGATTATTTATTTACGAAGGAAAATTGTTTTTTGCTTCAGAGGTGTCATGCATCGTCCTGGTGATACTCAGATAGGAGAGTTAGACATCAGATACGGAGGAATCGCGCACACTGACGGACACTTCAATCTTACCACGCCCTTCCATAAACTACCCTGGCTTAAATCAATACTCAATGTAAGTAATTATATTAAAATTCGCTGGTTGCGAATTACCAAATGGGGATAACTTAATCAATCGCACCGGTGGCCAAAAGTAAAAACGTTACGAGCTTTGTCATCTGTCATACCATACTATGTACTTGTATTTCTATCCACTTAATTAATGTGAAAACTGTTTATTAATCATGATATACAAGAAGCATTTAAAACCACTCTCCAAATTTTAGTATGTTAATCTTTACGACAAATAATGAAATACGTGTTTTTTCTTTTTATGTCGTTTAGAACAAAAATGTTGAGTTATATCGTCACCAAGTTATTTTCAAAAAACATACATTTGTGGACGCTCCCGCTGCCCAGTACGTGCGCTTTACGCGCTACGTTAGTTCCCCCCCCCCTCCCTTCCCGCAATTCATTGATAGTAATACAAGTACGTTTGCGAGTTAGTAGCAGCTACCTAAAATGCTTTCGTTTTTTCATGCTAGGGCAAATGCGTACGTCAAGTTGAAACCTTTCCTGCATGCTTTTACGGGCTTAGGACCGTCAAATTGCAAAAATTCTATTAGATACCTACTATTACAATAACTATACTGCTTTAAATTTATAAATAAGTAGGTAAGCAAATATCAAGTTACCTAAAATTCTGTTTAGTTAAACCAATAATAAAAAAAGTAGGTACTTAACTAGATATTCTTTGCAATCAGGCGTATTTAAAAAATCATCAACTTTATGTACATAATCAACTAATCACTTTATCCTACCTAATTTAACTATTTACCTACGTATACTTTAATAATTGTTCAAAGTGCATACCGTTCCTCTCCACACAGAGTCTTGCACGTTTTTGCACATTGTCTTTTAATTTGGCGAGCACTACAGTGTCATTTTTCACGTGGTCAAATGCCGCACTAATTTGCACTTTTAAGTCCTCGAGGCTTTGTGCTTCTTCAAAATACACACGTCTTTTGATTTCACCCCACAAATAAAAGTCGCACGGTGTTAGGTCCGGCGATCGAGCAGGCCACACGATGGGGCCTCCGCGTCCAATCCATCGATCACCATATTCTATGGTGAGATGATCTCGGACGGCGGCGGCGTAATGGGGTGGTGCACCGTCCAGTTGAAAATAAAAATCCCGGAAGTAGGCCACGGGCAAGTCCTCCATGAAATCGGCAATGACATGCCGCAACATATCGAGGAAGTTGCCGCCGGTGAGCGGCCCTTCGATGAAGTACGGCCCCAGTATTTTCGTGCCTATAACACCGGCCCACACATTGACACTAAAGCGCACTTGATGGTGGGTTTCCCGAATCATATGCGGATTTCTGAAGGACCACCAGTGTTCGTTATGATGGTTATAAAGCCCCACACGAGTAAACAATGCTTCGTCAGTCCACAAAATGTTGGCATTAGGGTGTGCAATCAGCCATTCACAAAAGGTGCGACGGGGCACATTATCTCCATCGTGTAGAGCTTGGACCTTTTGGAAGTGGTAAGGGTGTAGCCCTGTCACATTCAGCAGCTTCCACACGGCATAGTGGCTTACGTTAAATCGGCGTGCGGCATCTCGTGTACTGGCTCGCGGGTCCCTTTCGAAGAAATCCAAGATTTCATCTTCGATTTCAACTGCAAGTCTTGATCTTCCACCTCCGCGAGCGTGAGCAGGCGTAGTAAATTGACCATAGTCCAATAGCCTTTGGTTCACAGCCAAAAATGTCTCGCGACTAGGTACTGCGGGGTTTATTAATCCCTGATTTTGCAGGGCTGGGATGGATTCTGTTTCGTATAGTCTCCGAGCTGCATTTAAACTTTCACCGCTTAAAATGTAACACCGCACCATTTCGTAATATTCGCGATTGGAATACATTCCGACGCGCGAAGTGTGGGGCTGCGGCGGGTGGCGCGCAACACGGAAGCAAAGGCGGAAGCGCGTGCGTTCAAAGGGATTGTGCGCGGGTGACTGATGTTGCCGACTAAATAAAAAACCGAGCAGATATCGTCGGCGGTGCATGCGCGGCGCATGCGCGGCGCATCCCCTGCGCCCGCGCCCCTTGCTACCCCTGCTCGTTTCGTTCATAACTAATGTGACAATGCGAATGTTATAATTATCTTGTAATTACAAAAAGTTTACACTTCATTTTGAAAATTTTACATACTGTTTTTTTTTCATATATGTGATCTATTAACGATACCTAATGCCTAGAAAAAATTTGGAGAGTCATTTTAAATGCAGGCGGTATAAAGAAAAAAAAAAATAAGACTATTGTTTTTTTTTTTAAAATTTTAAGTTAAATCTAAAGCATCTTTTGCATAGGAATCTGAAATATATTTGTAAATTTTCGTAATAATAATATTTTTTTTTATGAAACCAACATCACATTCGGTTAATGTTTCTTTGATTCGATAATTGGATGTTAGTCCGTCAATCACGCCGAAATTACTGAATGGATTTTGGTGAAATTTGGTATACAGATAAGGTATTAGCTGACTTTGATAATAGAATTCTTTTTATTCCACTAAATAGTTCCCTAGGGACCACGCGGGCGAAGCCGCTAACGGAAAACTAGTTACGTATATTTTAAAGTAAAATAACATTTTGATTGATTACTTTTGTTATTGTTAACGTTATTTGTACAAGTATTTACTAAATACAATGACTAAAAATAATATTTGTTTATTTTTATCACTTAGTCGTGCTGTCAGTCGTGATATTTACCGAGTCAGTAGGCAATAAAAATTCACCCACAGTTGTGTTGCCATATAAAATATGTGATCAATAGTCTGTTTCGGTTCGTAACCCCTAATGATATCTTTGATAATTGAATACTATTTTAGATAAACTACGTAGAAGAACAATCAGACAACAAAATAGAACTGTTCTGGCCGAATAAAACCGCTTCATTAAACTCCACACATCAGTACAGACCCCGCGAAGGAGGTTTCACGCAAACTGGAACAGTTTCATTGTCAGTACCATTGAACACTCAACATTTAGTCAACACAGAGTATAACTACGTACAATCAGAGAAGTGGAGCAATGGAAACGCTACTATAGATTTGGATTTAGAGAGATTCGTGAAGGCGTCCTTCAAACAATTGTTGAGTAAGAGTAACAGAGATTTAGATTTGGCGACTACCGATATCGAAGTTGAAAATGTTCATACACCAGTCGGAGTGAAATATATACACGAGTTTGATACAACCGGGAATATTGTAAGTATTTAAATTGAAATACCATATACGCATTTTAATAAGTCGGGAAGAAATAACGTATGGATTATTCTCACTCATACTCGTGAGTTCACCTAATGGTTTATACAAATTTTCACATTACTATATAAGACTTAGATAAAATATGAAATTTATTTAGAAAATAGTTTCCATTCGATTTGACTTTACACTCCTAAAGTAAGATTTCTACCAACTGGATGACACTTGCGTGCAGTCATAGCGTATCTGCGTATCCGCGAGCATGCTCTTTTTTCCACTCGTTCTGGTCGTCGAATGTGGTTATACTTTTTATTCAAATTCCTCCAAACTTTATTTCAAACTCAAAAGCGTTGAAAGTTACGTTCAAAGTTGCTTGCCAAAATTTGTCATTTTTTGTAACATGATGTGCAGCTGTTATTTGTAGTATCATCTGAACTTCTATCCTTTTGGATCTCAGTAATGTACGGCATAATGATTAATACCTAATATATATTTAAATTTATTTATCATACTGTATCGTCTTAACCTTAGGATGTTAAACAAGCGACAGTATTTCATCTTCACAACGCAACCAAGTTCAACGTTACCGGTATATTAGACGTATACACTTACGACGTAGGGAAGAACTTAGAACTCACAGCCATTCACGGGAACCGAACCTTGACCTTCGAGAATAAATACGAATCGGTAGACCGGGAACTGAAGCAAGGCAGTAAGATGAAATGGGCCGACGACGTCTGGCTGAAGTATAATATACACCTCACTAATATGACATATGTAAGTACAATACTATTGCATATCCATTACAATCACTAGAAATAAGATTGTAAAAGAAAAAAAAATACAATGCTTAATTGTTTTACAAAGTATTAAATACTAAACTATTGTAAAATCTCTTCAGTAATCATTGCATTCAAAATAAGATTCTCCCTACTACAAATACCATGGTAAAATATATTGTAAATCTTATTCTAGAGTTAATAGAGTTGATTTCAATGAAATGTTTATTATTTTTTTATTTCAAACCGCATAGAACGATACAGAATCGCAGCAACTGGTCATGAACGTTTGGTACCCGCGCCGCTCATTCAATCTGATCGGTGTGTACAACCTCCAAGATACTATGTTAGACGGTAATGCACGCCTCACTTGGAACGTGCGTGACGAGAACAAAACCGCTGAACTCAAAGGGAAATGGAATAATCCGCCATTGGCCGAGGGAAACCAACACAATATTGACTTGTCACTGTCACATCCCTCTTTCAGAAAGGTATAGTTATTTTCTATCTTATTCCAATGTGATAATGTTCTTTATTTCAGTCTCATCTGACAATTATTTTAAATTATTTGAATCTTTAAATAAATTGTTCTTCTTTATTTTTTCCTATATTATCTAGTTATTTTGATTAATTTATATTTTAGATATACATTATGTAATTAAAACAGTTAGTTCAGATGTTATTCAAAATTCAGTATTTTATTTATTTTATTACTTTTGTTTGTTTTCAGGATGTAAATCTCAAAGGGCAGTATATAAGTACACCAGCAATAATGTCTAATATATCGCTAGAACTTCAATACTCCGATTACGAAAACGAATATTTGAAGTTAAGATCGATTCTAACTGACAACTCGAACGGACCAATAAGAGATTACAAGTTCGCGCTAAAGTGTACACATCCCTCGACCAATCTGGACCTGGACATGAAATCTGATATAAACATACGCAACAGATGGTATTACTTCAATAATTATTATAGATTCCAGAAGTCATTGTTTTATGAGAAACTGAGACATAATAATATGTTGATAAATTTAAGTAATAGTTCCATTCATTGGGAGGTAAGTTCCTTTACTATTATCTTATACCGATCAAAAGACCACATATTTTCACTGTTGCGAAATGCTAATATAAGCACATTATTTTATTTAGTTTAATTTGCTTTTATTAAAATTGAGCAAATCAAAGTAGAGCTTTTTTATTTTTTTTATAAAAATCCATAAAACCATCACGTTGAATCACACTTCTCGGCTTAGTAATATTCTATACCTACTTGTAGTAAATAGCACCCATGTAAAGTGGCAAATCATTGGTAGTTTATAAAATATTATAAAAAAACGACAGACCAATTTTAAAATATTCAAGTATGGTTAAAATTTACTTGTAGCGTGCCAATGAATCTTACTATTATAAAGTGAACGGGACTTGGGACTTAACTTATCCTGAGTACAAAGCTTTTGTGACCGTACTGAGGCCCACTGGTAACGACACGGGCGTAGCTGTGTTATCTACGAGAGATAAATCTTTGATAGCCCACTTCAACAGCACTGACGGTAAGTCGACTGAAATATAGTTTTTAATAACCAGTTTAGCGCCAGAGGATGGTTATTAAAATATAACAGATATTGTGTTTAATTTTATCATGTCGTCCATCATAGTATGGATATACCCAAGGATTTGAATCCATGCGGTTATTTTGTTAGTTTCAACCAATATAAATTTTTTATGGCTTCTAGATTACTTTAAAATCCCAAACACCATATACATGTCCATATTAACATTATCTTTAAAATCTTTAGTTGTATTGAAAGGTTTTCTTTAAAAACTGATACTAACTGAGTTTATTGCAAAATAGCTCTACTCGACGGACACAAGAAAAGAACTAACGTCACGATCGGTGGTTATAAAAACTATCTGGGGTTGAATTATTAATGTTTATATTTCTGGTCCTTTACAGATATCTCGTATCACATAATAGGTCGTATCATTGACACACGTTCAGCGAAATTAGATGCTTGGAGAGATTTCGATGATGTAACAACCGCTGACTTAGCATCATACATTAGACTGAACCATTCCCGATTGCTTACGAGCTCTTTTGTGTGGCGTCCTGAAATATTCAGTGAAATTAAAGCGACAGCCGTCTATACGCTAAAGGCTCTGTACGGTCAAATCAATGAAACTCTCGTAATTATAAAAGAAATGCCGATGGAAGCGCATTTAGCTCTTAGAAACATCTGGGGTGACGCTAAACCTAGAGTAAGAGAGTTCCTGGACGATCTCAACGATTTACACGTGATCAAAGACGATTTAGACGAGTTCCACATATTTTTGAACGAGTCCTATAATCATAACGACTTTTACGTAAAGGATATCGTCGAATTCACGTACTACGTCCTAGACGAAATGGCAATACGGAATCATTTGGAGAGTTTGCCCGGCATCGTGAATGATATGTGGGGTATGATGGGTAATACTAGTCAATCGATCAAACAGAGTTTGACCTACGTCGCTGAAACTATACGAATGGCTTATTCTAACTTCTTGGAATCGGTCAATAAAGTTTTGGAAGCTGATTTCATGGAACTGGTTTCGGCAAGACTGGAGGCGATGATAATGCAATACGACAATTTTGTTAGAGACATGCATATGCGATTGCTGGAGTATTGGGAGGAGACTTGGGTCAATGCGACAAGTAGACTCTATACATACTGGCACGATCTACTAAAATCCATAGAACCCTTGTTTTTTAAAGTGTTGGACTACACGGAGACATTCGTGGTATCCATATGGCATAGTATGATGGATTTCTTTTACAGTAGAACGCAGGAGTTGACAGATTCACCATATTTCAATTACGTGTCCACATTTAGCCATGAAGTTGACAAGTGAGTCAGTCTTTATTAGTTATAATGTTTTATGCATTGTACTGTAGATTTTTAATTTTATTCATGCTTATGTCTATTAATAGCGTCAATGCGAACTATTCTCGTTTGTTTGTTATTTAGTCACACTGTTATGGATTTTAATAATTTCGTAAACAAGTAAAAAAAATTACGTCAATAGTATTCATTTGTCAAAATTATATTTCTATTAATATTTCCTTTCCCTAAATATAAATTATATATAAATTAGCGTCAAACTGTTAGTATACATTTAAAACTTCTGCATTACTAATGAAACCTCATTTCCCCCAGAATATACAAAGACCTGATAACCAATGATCTCGTGACCAATATTAAAAAGTACAGCAAGAAATCCTTTAATTTCTTGTGGCAAAAAGTTGAAAAATACATTCCGTTCAAAGAGGAAATCATGCAACTGTACGCCGAGTTCAAAAACGCCTGGGAATCGTTCATGAAAACTAAGCAGGTTGTTTACATAAAAGATAAGGTAAAACACTATTGTTGCTTAAATAAAACGGTATTAGGTAGTTATATTATAAGGATCCTACAATCATTTTGTTAATTACATTTTCAATCAAAAAAATATTTATATAAACATATGGACGCCACTTAAAGTGTTCACAAGCAATTATTTTTTCAAAAGTTGACTTTGATTCCATCCAAAAGGAAGTTCTGTGCTCAAGCAGTGGGAACATTAATATTTAATAATGATAATGAATTGCCATGATTAAAAGAATGAACTGTATGATTTAAAAAGTTGTAAATCTTAATAGGCAGTATAATTAGTAAGCCAATTAGAATATACCGTCAAAATGCAAACTACAACAATTATCCAAAAAGTTTTGAAATACGATTGAAAAATATATAAACTCTTTTTTATGTGCTCTTCTAATTTAGACCTTCTTTGGCACTCACCAAGTCTCTAGAAGTTTTTTAATAACTATTTTTTTTTTATATAGTATACTGAAGCATACGTACGTCTAAGGTGGTGGTACGACTATTTCCTAATCGGTGAAGCTCTGGACCGTGTCGGAGAAATCATATATCAGAAAGTAACAGATATGGCAAAGACTGCTCTGCAATATGAAGAACTGTAAGTTATAGCATAATATTCTAACTACTATAACATAAGTACCTTTCTTTGAAGGCGGAATAGTTTTATTTTTCGAGAACTTTATTAACATTTAGCAATTCATATGAATAGTGTATAACTAAAGATTTTCCTTTACGTTTTAATGAAATGTAATTGATTATACATAGGTGCACCTGATATGTACCTAATATGTCAAATTTCCTCTAATGATTTTGGTCTCTACCCACAACGCATTAAAGTTTAAAATTAAAATTACAAATTTGAAAGTTTTGTATAACCTGACGTAATGCTAACTGTACATTTTCATCAAAGTTATAGAAAAAGTTATATCTATTTTTATTTATTTTCGAGAAGCAATGCAAATATTTACCTATTACATTGTTTTTGAACAGACAGAGGGTCTAGTCTATGTAACCAAGTATAGTTCTCTTTGCCAAAACGTAAAAATAATATCAAAATAATTCTATCTTTCAGACACCGTACACCAAAAACTCACTTCGTGTTCGATCCGAACGAAGGCACGATATTACTGGAACAAAAACTGCCCATGTCGTGGCACGCTTTTAACCGAACCCCGGACTTTAGCGAGATATCCGAGTACCGCGCCGTTCGAGACTTTATAGACGACTGGCTCAACACTAATAAGAGCATCTGGAGCTATTATTATGAGTTGAGACCTTATATGGACTTGGATAATATTATGCCACCATTTGCTGGTGAGCACCATTTACAATAAATTTAAAACTAACATTTTCAAAATGATTTAGCAAAATGTCAAGCACTTTTAGCAAAACACGCGGTTAGGTTAATTGAACCAAAATAATGATTCTCCGCGCAGATTCCGGTTTCCGATATACTGCGTCACCTCGATTGTAATCATTTGAGATCCGATAATGTGCAGCTGCGCAGTCGCCATTTTGGTTCAACTAACGTGCCGCGCATTATAATTCCGTTAGTTGGTTGTGAATACGGCGTTTTTATAAATAACTCTTTAAAATAGAAATAATATTTTCATGAAAGACAAAGGCTACGTGCGCACTTGTAATTTTTTTACTATCGTGACATGCGTACTTAGCGCAAAAAGGGAGCAAATTCGAACAATTCCATGATTTGTTTATTGTTGTCCTTTACTATACGTGCATCAGAATAGATAAAACAGATTTTTGTCTTTCTCTCTTTGTCTCCAGCCGAAGGACGTTTATACTTGTAGGTAGTATGTATTTCTATGTATAATGTCTCAGGTTGTGTACCCACTCTTATTTTTTGCCAAGGTATTTATTTACGAGTTATTATCGACAGGTATGGCGATAATGACAGCTCAAGGCACGTTGATTACGTTCGACAAACGCGTATTCAGTATAAGTGAAGCGGGCACGTTTCTACTTAGCAAAGACTACAGACAGAACAACTTCGATCTGCTCCTGGAGAGCGGCGGACAAGGACGCTATAACCTTGTGATACTCACCAGGAGGGAACTCATACATATAGACTTGTACAACGAGGTAATGATTGTTTAATATATAATACTTTGTGTAATGTCGTACGGAACCCTATTGTGGGGAAATGCTGCCGACATACAAATGATTTTTGTGCTTCAGAAAAGAGTAATAAGATCAATTTATAATGTTAGGATTAGGGACTCTTTAAAGGAGAAATTTAAGGAAAAAGACGTAATGACTGTTGCTTCTTAATACATATACGAGAACTTGATGCACGTTCGTAAAAATGTTATTAGTTTGTTTTCTATAAAAAGTGATGTACACAATTGTAATACAAGAAATAAAAATAAATAAACGGTGCCTGTCACGAGACTGCAACAAGTTAATAACCCATTCAGAGGTCTTTGTGTGCGCTTCTACAATAAGGTCCCAAGCAAAATACAAAAATAAGACATCATGCAGTTTAAATCTACTATAAAAAATACTTATTAATAAAGCTTATTATACGGTATCCGATTATATAACAGACAAGAATGCTTGGACTAAAGATGGTCCAGCAACTTGATAGGTTATTTTTCTCAACTCATTATATCTCAAAAATTATCTTGTTGTTATTATTATTAAATTATTATGTTATCATTATAAGACCATAGTTATTTTTGTCTCTCTATTTTTAATGTATTGATCTGGTAACACATGGTTTTTGTGAATGTCATTACTCCAATTAGACCTGGTGAGTTTCTTGCTCGTTCTTCTTATCAGTCAGAAGACGCCTGAACAAGTGGTAGGGAAAAATTTTGAAGATTCAAAATTACCTTTTTTAGAAGTCTATTTCAATTTATTGAAGCCTTTATATGAAACCAGGCTTAGAATTATTTGTATAACAAATTTTATCAATAGTTTTTGGGTGAAAGAGTAAAACATAAATTCATCCTCATAAAGAATCATGTCCACTTTCCACACATTGATTGACTGTCAAATTTTTTTATAGAGGTTGCGTCTACCCACCATTAGTGATATTTAAATAAGTTTTTGCTTAAAATATAATAATATCAGCATATTTCATTTGGAGGCGAAGGAGATTCGTATTTGTAAATATTTGTTTGAGGTTGCTATAACTGTCAAAACTCGAGATAATTGTGAAGCTACTTTAAAAATTAATGCAATGAAATCAAAGCTATTCCAGGATCGACTCGTCAATCTATACTAATAATAAATCTAAAGAAGGTTTGTTTGAACTCTATAAGCTTAGGAACTACTGCTTCGAATTGATTTTTTTTTGTGATCAGTATCACTAGATGACGCTACTATACTTTTAAAACGGGATTTAGATTTTTTCAGTTTTTATCATTAAATCGCTTTCATTTATATAACTTTATAGTTTCCTCATGTCTGTCTGTGGGTCAAATGATTGGTATAAGAAAGGTGTAATTTAGCATTAGTATACACGTTAATGACGCCGAGAATGTGGTAAAATAAAGTCTTGAAAAAAATACTTTCTTTGGATAGGTGTCCAAAAAAATATGTTATCCAATCGCGAATGATATAGCTCATTTCACTTATGCCACGGTTCTAATTTTTAAGGAATCGCTCTGCTGGTCCGATATAAAAAATTATTTCACTTACGGAAAGCTATATTATACGCAGATCTATATAATAGCCTATAATTTACGCTAGCAATATCTCGGTAAATTAGCTAGTAATTGACAGATGGATTGACCGATCTATAAGACACATCACAAACTACTGACTGGATCGAACTGATATTTGGCTGGAGCTGGGTCTTGTGAAATACATAAGGAACTTTAACTGCTTAACTAATCCTAAATTTTATCCTTTGTATTCCAGCAAGTGTCAATAGGTAACTCGGTGCTGACGTTACCCGCTGTCATTGAAGACTTTACATTGGATAGACACACGGACGCACTTACTGTACGAAGCCGGAACGGACTTCTTATAGAATGCGACTTCTTGTTCAGGACATGCAAGTTGCAAGTTACAGGTATAACATAAACTATAAGCAATATTATTTTCACTTTTTTAAACTTGTTTGAGGTTTATATTGTTAACGATTTTGTCAGAATGTTCTATGTGTATTTAAAAAAAATCTGCAAAATCTACAGTTTGCGTATACCGTATTATTATTTATTCCAACTCTCTGATTTTTAAAAGATGTTGATTTTGATTGCTGTTTATCGCCGTTCTGTACACCGACGCGCATTAGCATGCATTTGAGAAACAAAATTCGTGACATGCAGATAGTCATCAGAAATCGGGACGGGTGACAACCGTGAATGCGAATATATGCTTCTGTGTAATGACGTTCTTCGCAGTTGGCTGCGAAACCGTACATACAAGAACGCAGCTATTTCACCCGTCCCATTTCTGATTACTAACCGAATGTCGCGAATCTTGTTTCTCAAAAGGTGACAACCCTGTTCGCATTCGCAATCGAATGTGTCAGTGTATTAACAGCCTAACGGCGTAAGATTTAAAATATATTGGACGAGGGTTGGTAGTGAAAATCTTATTTTTTTAAAGGTTGGTACTACGCCAGCTTGGGCGGTCTTCTCGGCACATACAACAACGAGCAGTACGACGAAATGCAACTTCCGAACGGAACTCTAACTAACTCTAGCATAACTCTCGGCAGAGGGTGGGGATTGAAACATATCAGTCCGGTATTGCCGTTAGTGAGAGAAGATCGCGGCAACGATACCCAATGCGATAAGTTCTTCTTGAATAAAGTGTCGCCTCTGCGCCCTTGCTTCTCTGTGGTGAGTTCATATATCATAAACATTTTCATATTCATGTTGCGTTTCAGCTTTTTGCGGTGTGTACCCGAAACTTTCTTTTTAGTTAAAAATAGATAAAAGTAGGCTGAAATTGGTTTATGATGATATACTATTAAAGCATTAAAAAAACAAATACACATTTAAGAGTTCAAATTCCGACTTCAATGTAACTTGCTTATTCTGGCCTACAAATAAATCTGGTTACTCAACACCACACACTAAATAGTTAAGTATGTATTGAAAACTTTTACAATAGGGAATATGCATGTTTTTTTATTAAATAAATCATTCACGAGTTTATTTTAAAGAAAAAATATAAATGGGCTTGAAAATTGGCTAATTATTTTTTAAAGTGCAATTGAAATTATTGAACAAATTTCAGGTTTTTAAACGCCGCCATTTAGCGCTCCCTTTGATAACGTCATTGGTCGTGACCCGTATTTGTTTACTATAGCTTGTTAGTTACTTCATACTATTCTCATTTTTAATTAATATACAAATAATGACAGAAGTTAAAAACCCTCATATAAGTATTGTATGGTACACCAACAATGTTTTTTCGTATTTCTCAAAAACAATGGTGTAAGAAGATGAGAAAGGAAAATGTGTCTCCACTATCGATTTTATTTTGTTGTATTTCAACATCATAACAATCTGATTAAGTGTAAATTTAAACCTATTTTCTGCCCGCGGTAACGCTGTCCGACTTATTCGTAATGTCATTCAGATATGTATACAAAATATATGCGCAGAGTAATAGATTAAAAGATGTCAATAATAGAAGAACAGTGCTATCTAACGGTCGATTATTGAACAAAAAGGTTTAAATAAGTTTAGAACCAGTAGGTATCTACGAATTTGATGTATAATACGTAACTAGGCTTTTTAGGCTTTTTTTACGACTACTTTGACAGCTGTCGCCAAAGTGACGTCACACAATAGCGGATCGTGTTTCAATTCACGTCACACACTGGTCGCCAATTGTTACATAATAGTGTTATTTTACTTTAAGTATATCAATCAATTGTGTAATGTGAACAATTATAAAATTTGTAACATATTGTATTGTATACAAAAATCTCGACTTATAATCTTGCAATTTTATAGGTGCAAATCAAAATTTCCATGTTTGTTACAATGTAAATTTTAGTTTCTCTGCAATTTCTGACTTTTTGACTACCGAAACTACCCACCCTGTTATCGAAAAATGCGTTTCTTTGTAGTCGTATAAGCATTTCGAAAATAGACGCGTTTTCGAAGAAATAAAGCAGAGAGCAATTCGTACGAGTTATGCTTACTTTACTATAATGGGCGTATGTATACGTAGATCGACGCCACTCCATTCAGCGCGGAGTGTTCACGCGGAGCGGACGCGTGCGCGCTCGCGAACGCGTACCGCACACTGTGCGCACAACTGCACGCGCCCACACACTTGCCCGACCACTGCGACCGGTAAGTGTACCAGAGCTCTAATTTTCAGGGTGATAATTATATCATTGATAAATATACGTTGATAATTATAAAACACAACACAAACTACTCTAGGACTTGTTATTAAAGGGGAATCATCTTTAAACAAATTGTCAAATATTGTTTTACTGATAGAGAAAATTAACATGGATGGGCCTAAAAATATATAAAAGCCCCCTTTTATTATAATTTTTTATTCATTTATATTTTCATTTTACTTTTAGTTCGATATTATTTTACAGTAATATTTTCTTATTTGTTTTGTATATATCATTTTTATAATTTAGATCAAAAATAAATGCTTATTCAATTACTAACGCCTCTCTGTATGAAAAAATTGTTGCCAGTAACTACTGATAATTATCGAAAAATAATAAAAAAAAAATTATCTTGATAATTACGAATTACGTATATCCAGAATCTTAATGTCTATATTTAAAATCTTATGCAGTCTAATTCAATTCAACATTTGAAAGATATTCACGAACTTCACGCTGCAATAATTTGATAAATGATAGCGATTGCGAGCGCGACTTTTTTTAAGTACTGAATTAATCATATCGTTATTTGACGTTAATATAAATTGTCGAAGGCTAACGTGTTACTAAGTTTAAATGTTTCTTGATCATTCAAATCATCAGTCGTTTCAAAAACGATTGCTAGTTTAAACGTTATATAATTCCTTAGATCTCTATTATGACCACTTACCTATAACCACCTTTGAAAAGGATTGTGATAGGCAACCTGATGACACCGAAGAGCCAAAAGCAACAATTTACAAAATTTCAAAGTTTAAAAAAAAAAAGCCCTAAAAATCTCTTTTTCATTTCTATCTCTCAGTCATTTTCAGTAAAGCGCGATCGTATTATAGTAGTTGTTTTTAACTGCTGGTGTTAAAAAAAGGTTTAGAACTACTGTACTAAATTATTGTAATTACTATGCATCGATTATATAATTCGAAGGAAATGAAACATATTCTTATCAAAATTTCTATTAATTTAATTATTGTATATAAAATATGCTTATGGTTATGCTTCATAAAGTTTTCATCCTTTTACTCCACAGATGTATAACACCTCAAGGAGATATAATTGAAGAAGGCTCGTTCTACCAAATGCACGATGTGCCGAACACGACTGACGTAGTGTTTATAGTAGAGGCCCAGTATTGTAACAAAAACATGAGGAAACGAAAGAACTTAGATTTGTTCATAGAAGCCTTCGACACGAGACTGCAAGGCAGCGGCATCACTGATAACAGGTAAGATATAGGTTGATGTGCCATTTTATTTTCTTTTACTTACATTTCTTTTTAAACTATTAGAATATTTGATGTAGTACTTCATAGGTACACCCTATAATCAAATAATATAGTAAAGTAGCCAAATTCTTTGGATAAAGCTTAGCCGTGCTGGGTCGCATACGCTATAGCCTGACCACAATAAACTGTGATTTAACTGGAGAAATAATACGGTTCTTTTTTTCTCTTTTTGAGTACCAGAGAGTACGCCCTTGTATAGTTTATAAACATGGAATCGAATAAGTACGACGGCCCCTAAGTTACGACAACCCATAATCCACCACGTGGCTCAAATGCGGATTGGTGGGCTTGACAACTTCATATGCGGCCGGGCCAACAGCTTAACGTGCGTTCCAAAGAACGGAGGAGCTTGAAATAATAATTTTTTGTCACCCCTCCTATGACCGCCCCTAGTAAATTGCTTAACTTTGACACCACTGCGCTCTATCGTCACCTAAACTGAATACGATAGATTCCGCAGTCATATATGCGTAATGTCCAGTCCATTAGTTATGTTACGCAATATTTCTAATGAAAAATACTTTAAAAAATTACCAATCTCAGCCTCACCGAAATGGGGCCGAAGTAACCACAACCTTTCGTAATCCGGGCATATACTCTTTTGAGTCACCCGAGACCCGACGGGACGCGCTCAAGCAGTTATTACATATGCTACTAGTGATCAAATCTTCATCAACGTTCAGGCAATCGACACAAACAGTCGAAAGAAATATTTATTTAAATATTTAAAACTTTCGACTAAGATAAATATTTATTTTGATTGTTATATTAATTTATTATTGTATTAGTTTGCATTCAATTTATGGGGTGCGTGAAGTTGACTCTAAATAAACAATTCAGATAACATATTAACATGATATACAGTGGCGTAGCGAGCCTTAGTAAAAAATTGTTTGAGGGCACTTATGAAGGGTAATGATTTCCCACAAAAGAAAATGAATGTTTGTATAAACTGCGCGAATTTTAACATCGATTATTGTGGGATTCTCCTGTTGAAGTATATGACTTAAATGGAGAAATCATGCAGCCCGCGAAAACCGATTTAGGGTGTTGCCAACTTTGAAACGCATGCTTTACGCGGAAAAAAGAAGCTGCTCCTTTTGGCTTTTGTAATTTCTGAAATAAAAAGTAATAGGGGAAGTTTTAATTAATTTTTGCTTACGCACGTTGGGGGTCCGTGGTCCAGGGGCCCCGTATAATTGATACGGCAGATACGGCGGTAACTACGCCCCTGCTGATATATAATAAATATATAAATTATGTACTGTGTGTGTGCGTAGCTATAAATTATCCAATATATATTGTTAGGTATGCGATAGTGGGCTATGGCGGTAGCGGCGTGTACTCTGAGCCGCGCGCACTCTACGTAGACAATCATGTATTTGCAGACGCCATTCAGATACCGCTCCACTTCGATGCACTCCAAATAGGTAAGTCACACAACATAATATGTTTTTGTTAATAATGCCTCATTTACAGTGTACACTAATTGTGATTTTCAAAATCAATCGCAACCCTAACAAGTGTATAGCAGTTGTGATAGCAATTTAGTCGCAATTGCATTTGGAACGAATGATACTTTGAATGGTCAAGAAACATAATAAAAACTTAGTTTTACCCGTCAAAAGATTGCAGTTAGCATTAAACTCTTCCATTTGAATTTTTACTTTAGACAATTCCAATTAACTTTTAACTAGCGATATCGATCATTCAATATCTTTCTAAATAAATAGTGGTAACGTGAAGTTCGTGAATATCTTAAAAATGTCAAATCGAAAGGGATTGCGGTAGATTTTAAAATTAGATAGTTAGCCACTTGGTCAGGCCCGGATCTATGAAGGGGGCAAATCTTACCCCCGGACGCCAGTGTTAGAGGGGTGCCAAAATTCATTATATAATACCTATTTAATAAAGAGTTTCACAAATCTCTTCATACAAATTATAGGTTACGATGGTATGAACATGTTTTAAAATCCCTAAATATAAAATCGGGCTTCACAGAGTGTTAGGGGGGTGGGGGGAGGGTAGAATATGGGCTATACGAAGTTTCTTCGTCCTGATTAAAAAAATCGTAGATCCGGGCTTGCCCTTGGTCGATGATGGCCTCGAGGGGAGTACAGGCGATTTCTGTAGCTCGCTTTCATTAGTCAGTTATTGTTTTATCGACCACAGAGGTCGCCCGCGCCTTGCGTGGAACTGTGTGAGAAATAAGAAACTATGAAATCCCCATTTTCTGTGCAACAAAACCACATATTGATGTCCTACTCTAATGCATTGATGTTTAAAATCAAACGGAGAAACATGAGGATTTTGTAAAATTTTACGTACTGTTGCCCGAATATAGTTGGACATTTTCCTTAGAATTACTAAGCAAATTTTTTCTTTTCACATTAATTAGAAACTAACACCCGGTTTCTGAATAGAGAATTTAAAATTAAGCACGTCTCGCACCATTCTCAAACTGTACTTAAACAGGTTTTCGTTACTGTTATTAATTTGTTGAATGATCAGTTGATAGTAGTTTAATTAAACTATAACTTTTAGCCCCTTGTAACGTAAAAAACTTAAGTTATTAAGAATAATTGGTTAACATTTTGTATACTAATCAATTCAGAAACCAGAAGATAACAACTAATTGTATAATTTCGTGCAAATCTTACCGCATAAATACGATAACGTCGCAGAAAAAGCTGATCTAGTGAAGAGGAATAACAGTGTCAGAGCGGACGTGTTCGACGCGTTGAGTTTCGCCACCAAACTGCCCCTGCGTCCCGCCGCGCCGCGCACTTTCATACTGATGCCGTGCACGCGCTGCGACACTAACTACATGGCGGTATATTACACTCCTTACAGTAGCTCCTTAGGGGCCGTCCATTAACCATTTTTTGACCCCCTCCCCCTTGGTGGTACAAAGTGAGGTTTATCAAACAAATCACGTGTATTTAAAAAAAAACAAAAATCTTAATTTTAAACGTAACTTTTCGGTTTAATAATCGCGCGTTTAGGAAAAAATTAATATGTGATATATTACTACATCCCCCACCCCCCTTGTGATATTTCGTGATTTTTGACGAATTAATCCCCCCCCCTTTCGAGCCTCACGTGATTAATGGACGGCCCCTTACAGTTATGTTACCCGCGTATGATATCGTCTACCCATAGGTGGTTTTTTTTTTTTAAATAGGTCCCATACTTTCAGAGCCTATTCAATATAAAAAAAAATATTTCGTATTTTATAAGTAAAGATAGATACTGTTATATATAGATTTAATTTCCTTGAGATTGTCATTTTTACGATGTTTTTTTTTTCTATCTATTACATTTTTCTAGTAATTTTAATATAATTAAAATTTCCTCAGCTCGATTATTCGACCATCTCTCATGGTTTGATGGAGAACTCGGTGACTTTACACATCCTGATGGATGAAGATATTATGCTGTCTAAGAAACGATCTAAAAATTTATTCGGTAAGATCATTCAAACTATAATTTTCATTAGTTTTTTTTATTGTTGCGGAAATCTACTTTGATCCGACGTGGACTCAACGCTCTGACAACGAACAAAAGTAATATAAATACGTGAGTTACGCATTAATTTTATTTCTTTTCGTATTTATATATTAAAAATCTTTTTTTTTGTGTGTAGGCATAGATAGTACACATGCGTATACAAACAAAGACTACGAGCATCTCAAAGGTGATATGGATCTTAGGAAACAAGTGCGACTTCCTAAAGATAAACTAGGACTATGCGCCTCATTAGCTTTGGAGACTAATGGTAAGTTTGTAAACAATTATTATAAAGAATATCTATAATTTCTCTTAATTAATAATAAATACAAAGGTTTTTTTATGTTAACATTCTTTCGGTGGTCATCCATTTTAGTTTGGGTGGTCCGCCATATAGAGTTCATTATGAATTAATAATTTTATTTTTCATATTTTGCATTGCAAACCTTATTATTTGATACCCATATAACGTCAGTATACAAGAAAATAATCAGGTCGCCATCTTGTAATTAAATAACTTAGCTGTCATATAAACTAAACCAGCTTATTCAGGTAAAATTCAGTTGCAAGCTTCGATGAACATACATTACCAGTAAAATAAAATCTAGTATAATTTTATAGAATTGAACATCTAAACTTACGGGGCAAAGAGAAATTGAAGTCTTTTCTTAAAAAAAAAAAAACAAGTTTTTTGTACAGAACCTTCAGTTTCTCTCAATAGAACGACCTGTTTGCAGGCACATTACTAGCTGGCGGTAAGCTGCAGGGCGAGCGAGGTACCGCGCGCCGCTTCGCCACTATAGCGGGCGCCCGCGTCGCACAGACCGCGACCGCGTGCGCCCGCGCTTCCTGCGAGTGTCGCGACACTAGACTACACTGCCGGCCCTGCGCCGATATAGCAAGAATGGTAAGGAATTATCAACATATTCAATAGACTTGTGTGCTACAAGTGAAAATACGTGTTTTTGTTATATGTTCGGAAAATATGAACCATTTTAACTTGAAAATATTAAGCTTTGAAAACTTGAAAAAAGTAGGAAAGTATACTACAAAAATTTGCTAAAATTAGTTACATATAACGTTACATCCATTATAATAGATATAAACATAAATAACGAATATATTAGAAAGATTGCCCAGATGTACAAAGGTTTTTCGCTAGCGTAGCACTGTCTTGACGTCACTTAGTGCCTTGAAGCAGGCCGCCTAGCAACACTTCCATAAACATAGCATCGTATCTTCGAAACTATTAATCGCAGACATGTTGTTACTTCTATATTATTTATTAGATATTAATGGACTACTTATTTATTTATAAAATAAATTATTAATTTATAAAATAAATAAGTTGTCAACAAGCCTATATTACCATTTTCGCCAATTTTTGAACATGTATCATGGTTTCGTAGCGTCAACTTTACGGTACTATATTTTACTTAATACCATATCGTAAACGGACTTTCGACCTACAGAGAAGTATTGTTGAGGGCCCAAATATAATGCATTAGAGCAATTTAAGGATGTAAAATCTAAGAGCTGCAAACCATACTTTAGGTTCTTGAATATACTAACTTTACCGTGCTTGTATGTATTAGAATGCTGTATTTTTGTAAAGAAAAATACAGAGCTATATAAAATTAAGGAACAAAATGAATACACACTTCTTCCTCGGTAACTTCAAATATGTAAAAGTCTGTAAATCAGCTCTCATGAATAAAAGTGTCATTGAATGGCTCCTAGATTGTATAACAAGCTTCCTGAACAAATTAATAAACATTACAATAAGATTAAATTTATAAATGTATTGGCGAAATTATTAGTAGATAAATGTTATTATAATATAAATGAATATTTTTTGGATAATATTATACAGTCAATAAGTATCATTTACTATTAATAAAATTTTGTATAGAACATTTCATAATTTCAAATAGTGCTCGCATTATAAAGAATTTCTATTATGTATAATTTAATTTTGATAATTATCATAGTAATAATAATAATATAATTTATTTCTTTTGACACAAAGTTAACAGTATGTTTTTTATATATTATGATTAGGATTATGATTCACTCAAATTATGACATTTAAATATTATTAAGAAGATTTGCAAGCTTTAAATAAACATTTTGAACTTTAATAATATCATGACAACCTAAAATACCATGTTTTCAAGCAAATAAAATTATTATTATTATAGAGCGCAATTTGGCTGTAGTCTGATATTCTTTGTGAAATTGGTGAATACAAAATTGATCAAATATAATAACTGTAGTTGGATTTTAGTTTTTGAACTTATTTTGTTAGTAATTACTTTTCGGGTTAAGCAAAATTACAAGCAAAGGCTATCAATATATATATTTGAAATGGGCTAATTAAACTTTCATTTGATACGCTACACGGAATGATTGAATAATATATTTTTTCTCTAGAAGGCGCCGTTGCCAATTTAATGTTACATGTAGGGTTACCACCCGTACTTTATAATAAAGTATTGTACGTTATTTCAGACAATTGTACTCTATACTCTATAAGAAAAATAAAGTACACGAAAATACTTTATGTCGTATGATTTGATTTGTTTGTGATTTTGAAGCTTAGTCGTAAGTATTTTTTCGTTAAACAAAATTGGTGAACTGAATAAATAAATAAAAAGAAAATGTATTTTTAAGTTTAGTAATAAAGAAAAATAAATAATACTTTATTTTGATTCAAATTACTTTGTTTTTGTACCTATAATAACTAATGCACTTTAATTAGGGGAAAAAAAGGTGGCAACCCTAGTTACATGGCGTATAGCACGCGGACAACTAAAACGCTTCTAATGATACCTCATTTGTCCACTTACGATGAGTAGTCTCGAAGTTATAAGGAACAAATGAACATTCTTACATAAATACGTACATACATACATACCGGCTATACTCATAAGCCTCCTTTTTGCTAAGCCGTAGACTGGTAAAAATAAATTTCATTTTCACAATTTCCCGCGAAAATGCAGCTTCTGTCATGGCGTCGCTATGACGTCACGGCCCTCTAAAACTAATGTCGTTCTATGTTGATATATATTATAAAGTTGAATTCTCCAAGTTCTGTTATGAGTAGCGGCGTGAAGTAACGCGTTGTTTGCTGTCTACGCCTGTATTGTCAAGTGTCAATTTACAGAGTATTTATGAATTTTGATGTGCGCGAGACCGCAATTTCATGCAAAAACACCAGCAAAATTTGGCTAGAGAAAATCACAAATCGGTCCTGGGGTAACGTTATATATGATTTTTCAGAAACAAACTATAAGCAATATCAAATCACTGCACAATGTGGGTACCCCATTTTGGACGACCTCAATCGCGATTCAATAAACGTACATACAGCGGGCGTAAATCGCGTAGTCAAATTTGCTTATGCCATCAACGACCCCTTCAGTCCCTTATACTTCTCACACTAAGTTTGACCGCTGCAATGCAAAAACTCAGCAGAAAGATTTTAAATTACCTTTTTCTGCTTTAACAAATCAGTTGTTGCAGAACCGTAATTAACACTTTTTGTAGTTAGATGGCTATTTACTACTACAGTGATCAAAAACATTGAGTTTTATTAGGCATTACTTATACCTTATTATGTATATGTCATAGGTGCGTCACATGTTTCAAACATGATAAAATAGATCTTAGTTTGTAGATTTTGGGAACCTAACTGAGGTACCGAAAGTCTCACTGATGCCTCCACGCCCAATCTAGACGACTCCCATTTTACGCCATTGCTTACCGCTCAGTTTCGATCACTCATTGTGTCTATATAAGCTCTAGACTGCTAACGTATTTCATCACTAAGCCCGTTACCTAAACAAACATTTAAAAAAAATGCAAATTTTAAAAATTGATACGAGATTTTTATTTTCAGACGGAGCTATCTTTTTGGAATAAGGATAACATCGACGAATTCATAGACATGGCTATGGACCCGCCCGCCATTCCCTCGCTAAGCTGATAGCAACATTATTCATCTAGAGAGCTTATTGTGCAACTCACTATCTGACAAGAACGATTATATCATTATATAGACTTGTAGCTTTTAAAAACTTTTAGCATGTCGTGTAGTAGAAACTACAAAACAATTAACATAATGAAAGATATTGTGATATAATTTTTCACTACATTTCGCAATAAGAGCAGTAAGACTATTCTAAGAGTGTTATGTGCCATATTAATTAATAAGTGTAAAAATTAAGAGCAAGTCTAAAGTTTGTAAGTATTTTATTTCACATGCATACTGTTCATATATTTCCACAAACACTTTCAGATGAGTAATTATTTATATGAAATAATGTAAGAAAGAAATTTCCTTAATAAATTAAAATGAAATTATTTTTATAGATACTTACGACTTTTTTTTTCTTTGGTCACCCAAAATTATTAAAAACAATTAAATTATAACAGGTATGTTTTACAATTGCTATTCAAAAATATAATCAGTCTTCGTAATACCTTTAACAAACATTATTATTTCTAAATCACAATCAACAATTTGTCACTTACTAACTATTAAAATAAATTGATTTACTTATGTATTTTATAAGCGAGAACTACGCCTACGATAACAAGTGCAAATGCTGATATTTTATACAGCAAATTGAAAATTACTTGATTTTGGCCACCGACAGAATTCACTATGAGATTATTCATAAGAAATACTTGATTGCTTTCTTCAATAAAGGCCTGTTGCTCTTGATCAGACATATTCTCTGCTATCTGATTCATAACATCTCTGAAATCATTTTTGAGCTTGCTTATGTCAACATCACTGAAATCAGTCACCTTATCAACGTAACCTGCATTCTCCTTTTCTGGAATATGAAATAACCAGATAATATACAACTAGAGCTTTAATTTTGAAAAATATAGAAAACCAATCTTTATGATAAAATACTATATGATATAACGTCTTGTGTCTTTTACCAGTTTTTTTACAAACTAATTCAATACAATATACTAAATGGCTTCAATTAATTTCTGCCTTAATTAGTCGGTGGTAAAGATCAAAATCAATTGCAAGATACTCACTGTCACCAAACATTTTCCTTTTCTTAGCAAGTATCTGGCCACCGCTAAGCAATCCCAGATACAAATGATACACATATGCCATCAGTAAAGTTGGATTCTCCTTTTCCAATCCTTGAAGGTGTTCTAAGTAGTTCTCCAGAGCGCTTGACTTTGGTAATGTCTTCCAGCTGTCACCAAGATAGTGCTGAAGATCTTCTTCAAATGCGCTTTTCCTAAAGTTTATATAGTCAAATATTATAAAACAACTCTTTACTCACATAAGACTATGACAATAAACACAGAAATAAAAAATGAAAAAACTTTCAGCAGATAGGAACATAAATTATGATAACTATACTACCTAATATTACAAAAAGGTAAAAATTTTTTGCTTATTGTAAGGAGTTATTTTTTTCAGAAGCTTCGTTAGGGGGCTCCAATTTTCCGCACTTAGACTCTCTAATCGGTCCATTGTGCGTGCAAAAGTTGGCTGTCTTACTCCAACCAACCTAACTCCGCCCAGAAGCGCAGAAGCTTTTTAGGGTCTTCGCAGACTTCGCAGAATACCTCTTTTGGTTAAGTTTCTCTAGGCATTCGTTAACCACAGAAAGGGCGAAAACACTCCACCTTGTGGGCAGCCCCTCGCCACGATATCTATAGATGTGGTATTTACCGTGATTTACCGTAATTAGCCCTATATGTTTACTATCCAGCCTGTGAGGGTTGGATGGACATTATGTTTTCTTAGGGCACCTTCCATGCTTTCAAAGGTCGTTTTATCAAAAGCTCCTTCAATATCTATGAAGACAGCGACAGAGACAAAAGATATCTATGATAGCAATTCTTCAACGTATGGTCATATGGTCACCACGTAATGGAATGCAGATTCGGTTGATTTTTCATGGCAATGTTGGTTTTTGTACAGCGGTATGTTGCTAAGTGTATTTTCTCTAATCTCCCTCTCACAGATCCTTTCTAGTTTTAAGTGGAAAAGAGGTAATCGGTCTAAAGGACTTTGGTTGAGTGTAGTCATTCTTACCCGGTTTTGGTATCAATAGTAATTTGACTTCCCTCCATTTTTAGATACGTAGCGATATGCAATATCCTATCATATCTGCGCACCATTGCACCGACCCAGGGAAAATACCATATTATCCTGGAGATTTGTATGGTTGGAAAATGTTTATAACCCATCGTATCTTAGCGATAACTCAATCAGACTCAGTTGTTACTTCTTCCTAAGTTGATTTCTCTTGTAGGTGACATGGCATCCTGGGAAGTATGCTTGTAGAAGAACATTGCAGGTTGCAGCATCATTCTTAATGTAGGTATTGTCAGTGTTCTTTATTGATCCAATGGCCAAGTCCAAGACATGGGCTAGAATTCTTTTCACCCTGAGTGCGTGACCATTGGTTTCAATGTTTGTGCAGAAACGCTTCCATGATTCTGTTTTTCTTTGTTGAGTGCGTTTTTTAAAGAACGCTTGGGCTTCTTTGTAGACATCCCAATCTAGTTCGCTTATAGTGTTTTTGGCTCTTTTGAACTCCCAATTTTTATATTAAAAAAAAACTATTATGTAACGTGTTGTAAGAAAGACCCCCTCTATAACGCATCTTTACGTTTTACTAGACCCCCCCCCCCCTACCCCCAAATTGCATTACGTAATACTTGAACGCACCCTTAGCTAGAATTCAAAATACAAATAATTTGACAACCATATTTCCAGAAGTTTACAAATAAGCAGAAGTAATAGTTTCCTAATTAACATGTCAATCAAACAATAATTTTCAGGCTAAAAAGAACTTTTTAAATAACCTTCTCATTTTTATGGCAATGTTTTACTGAATTAAGTATAAAAAAAATTGCCACTTAGATTTATTAAATAAAAATTAAGGGTTTGTTCAGATTCAAGCCAATTGTTTGTTGCTGACTGTTTATTTATGTAAACAGTTCAGTAGTTCTTACTATTTCAATAAACAAAATAATTTTTCAGTAACTTATTTGATGTTCATGGTGGCTAACAAACATCAATGATCAACATCATTGCCAAGCCAGGCCATGTGGTCAAACTCATTAGAATGTACTTAAACTATGCTGAAAATTGGTAAGTTTTTTCAATACAGATGTACCTTTACCCTACCCCAAATCTCTGTGCATGCCATGCAGGTCATAAGGGGTAACAATCAAAAAAGTTCAGGAACCAGTGAACTAGAGTAAGGGTCAGTGCAAATCTGGCAGAAGATCCATTAAGTGTCTCAGAGAAGTATGTGATTGATTGTTTTTATAGTATGCAAGGTAAAATGTCATATCATATATTTGTCAGTTTTGATCTTCTGCAACTGACACAGTGCAATGCATCTTCCTTCAAATATAATGCACTAAACTTAAGTTTATAGTTTGGTTTCTTTAATACTGTATAATATGACATTCAAATATTTTTCTTTAATTTATATAATATTAATAGGCAAAATTCATTGCCATTTTTGTATAAAACAAACAACCTGTGTAAAGATTTGTGGACAAAAAGCCTGTTCAGATCAGGCATTTTTAACCTCCCCTTAGCATCTTCCAGATATGCAAAAATATGGTAAAAAACAAACAGGCCTCCTCCCCATACAGTCTCGTCACGGAGTGCTGAAAAATAATTATGCTAGAATGAGTTAGGCAAAGAAAGAAACACTTATAGAAAATAATAATGTTGCCGGCAAACATCAATAATACTGTAGTATATCTAAAATACTATTTTAATAAATGAACTTTTTTATATGAAATAAATATACAAACTTACAGATAGCAAACTTTGCATTCACCAAAGCGTCACTGACCGAATGAATTTTTCTTGTGGCTCTTCTCATACGAGTAGTAAATAATTCCACATTTCCAGACATAATTTTGTAGTGTGTTTGCTTCTAACTATGGTAAGAGTTTACCGCAACAAAGTCACAATAATATTTGATAATATTAGTTTCGCCCAAACCACAAACGAAACGATCAGCTGACTAAGCAAAATATACAAAGAGTACAAATGAGCACAAACCACTAGAGTTGAAAGTATTTGCTCGAATAGGTTTTTACTTAGACTTCTAAATACTAAGTATCATAACAACATCTAACGTGTTTGTAGTACATATTTAAAAGTATCGACACACCAACTCGGAGACGCGGACAGAGTCGGTCGGGCGAGTACGCGTTTGTTCTAAGTGTGGGTGAGTTTATTCCTATACATTTATTACCAACCTTAATGTTTTGTGTAATTACCGCTTATAAATATTTTTTATGGACCTATTATAGTATTTTACAATCTTCGGCTTAAAATTTGAATCTGTATGAGTAAGTATTTAAAAAAAAACGAAAGCATTAAAAAAGTACCTCCACTAGATGGCGACTCTAGCAAAGGTTGATTTTTGCAGGAAACGAATGGACTTTTAACTAACATATTAAAAAACTGAAATTTGAAAAGTTCGAAACTTAGATATCAATACAAATACGTAATAGTACAAATAGAATATGAGTTGTTTATTGAATTTTTAAAAACTAATTTACTTTTAAACATGGAAGAAAACCGGAAGGGTTGTCATGGAGAAATCAAGAACGTACCGTAGCGACGTCTAGTTTGATTTCGGGAACTAATTTTTTTTTAATACTTTCTCATTCGGATTTGAATCTGTCATTGCCAACCCTATAGAAACATGACGAAATTTTGCAATATGAACGATCACCTCTGATTGCTGTTTCTTCAAATTGAGAAAGTTTAATCCATTCGTATAATTTGCTACTTTATTTTTATATATTATGCTTTATCGCACGTCCCACTACACATCACCACCGTAAGCAGACCTCTGTTAGTAGATAAGTTCTATACGAAACACGGTCGGCACTTAGTTTGTGCATACCGATTAAAGGCTTCAAACACATAATTCAAAATACTGTCTGTAGAGATTACTCTACCCAGAATATTTAGAACAGGGATCCCAAACTTACTTTATCTACTACCCACTTTGAGAAAAAAATATTTTTAATTAAAAGTAAATTAGTTGTCAAACCTTAATAAACAACTCATATTCTATTTGTACTTTTTCATATTTGTATTGATATCTAAGTTTCGAACTTTTCAGATTTCAGTTTTTTAATAGGTTAGTTAAAAGAAACGGATATGACTGTCTTTAGTCCATTCGTTTCCTGCAAAAATCAACTTTAGCTAGAGTCGCCATCTAGTGGAAGTACTTTTTTAGTGCTTTCGTTTTTTTTAATACTTCCTCATTGATATATAGACCCTACTAGTTCTTGGAATGTGTATAAACATCACTACTTATTACCGGAAAGAAAAATAATTGTTTTGTGCCGGAAACTAACTCCACTGTGCTGTAGCTCCAAAAATATCGAAAATTTAAATTTATTAATCATCGTGATTTGTAAATTGAAGTCAGTCTTCTCTTTTTTTTGTGCAATATTGTTTTTGGTAGCTTAAACTTCGACAATGAGCGATACAACAAAAATTAAGGTGACTTAGATTACTCTTCTCGTAAACTATATTTCCCTGAGTGTTCATATTTTAATTAAGATTTATTTAGGTAATTAACGAGGATGCTGGTATTTTTTTAAACAATAATACAAAAATTGGTGTGCTATTTATACCCGACAGTATTAATTCTTCTAAATGGTACGTCTATTGACCTGAATATTGATAAGAGTTATCGTCTTATCAGTTTCAGTTTGACATTTCTAACGCTATTACCTAACCTTTACCTCGTCTCACCTTTACTCTGTAAAAAATAAAATAATCATGGCTTATAATTTAAAACAAGAGGATGAAGTAAAGGACTACATAGAGAATCTCGGTATTGAGTATCGTTTCGGTTGTTATCACGAAAAAAAACCAGAAGTCTGTCATCTTTTGGGTGATTATTTAGAAGCAATAAAGAAAGATTTCGATAAAGCTGCAAAGGTCTTTAAGAGTAACTGTTTAGATTATAACTTCGGGAAATCGTGTTTAAAAATTGGGAACTATACACTGGTCGGACGTGGAAGAAACGACAGCAATCCAGCCGAAGCACTCCCCTATTTCGAGAAAGGTTGTGAATACGGCGACGCCGGTGCCTGCCTACATGCGGGCATGCTGCTCACCGCCACAGGTCCTGGTGTCAACATTACAAGAGATGTACCTAAAGGTAACAGCTATGACTCTTAAATACATTCACAGTCATCAGTAGAAAAAAATATTTTTTCCAATCTATCTAACATCTCATATTTGTTGCAGGTTACAATTATCTGAAGAAAAGTTGTGATCATAATGACGACATGGCATGCCATTATTTATCTGGAATGTACATGACTGGTGTTCCAAAGAATCCTAAAGAATTCAATCCACACAATTTAGAGAAAAACAAAAATATAAACTATCTGATAAGGTCCGATATGAAACAGGCATTTCAATTTGCAAGTAAAGCTTGTGAATTGGGAAATGTGTATGCATGTGCTAATGTCAGTTTAATGTATAAGAATGGTGAAGGTGTGGAGAAAAATGCAGAAGAATCTAAAAAGTATCTTCAGATTGCACAGGATCTGCAGAAGGCACATGAAACTACAAAAGAAGTGAAATTCCAACAAGGCCTAGAAGGCAAATAGCAATAAGATAAAACCCTGACGATGGCATTTATGTTTGTATTATTTATACAATGTACAAATAGTTAGTTTAATATAACAATTTTTATCAAACTGCATATGTTTAAATTGTATTTTAAAACCTGAAGTAATTATTGATTACATTGATTTTTTTATGAAATTTGGTTTGAAATTGTACTTGCAAAGAAATGAGGGTTTGTTAAAATATATTGTTTCAAAACATGATTTCTCTTTATTAATTAATTAACATTTCTACTGGTAAAATTTTAACTTGGATATCTTTAAGTTTACTACTCTATATATCATTTTCTTAAAACTCCTCAACAGGTTTCAGACAATAAGTTGGTGCACAAATTGTTAAAGCTAGATATAAAATTGTTGTGTTTAATTATAAGAATTATTACAATCCATTCAAAATCTAATGAGCCCGTTTACGAACTGTTACATTTTTGTCTTTGACATTATTATATTCAAATAAATAGGGTTATCAGGTTTTCTATTTACACAAGGTACCAGAAGAGAAATAATAAAAATTACTATTATTATAATACAACTTAGATTGGCATTATCGGCGGCTCCGGATTTGATGATCCAGAGTTGTTGGCCGAGCAATCCGAGCGTGCGGTGAGCACTCCCTTTGGAGAACCTTCTGACGTGATCCTCGAAGGACGTCTGAACGGTGTACCCTGTGCACTGCTAGCCAGACACGGCAGAAACCACAATTTGCAACCAAGGTAATATTTGCTGTATCCATTGTAAGTAATAGGTAAGCGTCAGCACACAATATGTAATCCCATTCAGTTAAATACTATAGATGCATGTAAAGGTTACAGCTTATTAGAGCTACCTGGACCCGGATCTTCACTTTATACAAATATGCACTCACTACATAAACTCCATCTAGTCACCGGCCAAATCACCTCACTAGCAAGGTGTCCACGCATAATCTCTTTCATAATTTAATTGTTGCGTGCGTGACAAATATAGAGCCGATTTACGATTTGTGTATTTTGACTTCATGGACATAACAATATTTCGTAACTCAAAATTCGTGTATCACGTGTCACCCACTCGCTGACCACGTTCAATGGTCAAGGTTCAAGGTAGCTAAGGATATCCAAAAAGTTGCGCTAAACAAAGGCTAAACATATTTTTTCACTTACGAAAAAAAATAAAGAAAAACACAATTTACGTATCCATTTTGCTATTACTCGTATAAAAATAGAATTAAAGCCATTCTTCTTCACTGTAAGAATCTTCTGGAACGGATATGAATATGAATTCCGTATGTGGGGCAATGAAAGATTGAAATATCCAGATTTCTAATTTATTTTTTAACATAGAGAAGAGACGTCGTTCGTCTTTCTAATATCTTAAAATGTCTCCGCATTAAGTTTTCTTTGATCTTATCTATAAAATCTAACTGTAAGTAGAAAATATATCAAAAATACTAAATAGTGCTAGATTCGGTGCTAGGTGCTGTGACGATTTTACTATCTGTCTATCTTAATCCAAGAATTAAAAAAAGAATAATAATATAAAACAATTTAAAAATTATAAAAATATATATTTACAATACTATCAAACTTAATTGAATCTACATACAATAACATAATTACAACTTCAAACTAAAATTAAAACAAGCAAAATATCATAAAGAAAAATAATAAATTCAATAGACACAGTCTGGGCAAAACTGTTGTATACTCAATAAGTCTATTGTTCATGCGCTTGCGCATTGCCGACCGAAGCGGGAAACCGGTTCTCCAACTAAACGCGGGTGGCACAATTGATATACTACCGCAGCGACAGGACATATTGTCGTCACTTACATTATCTCTTACTAATTACCGTTCGGGCTACTAGTTCGGGCCACAGAGTTTATACTTCTTCTTTTTCTATTATAATTAATAAAAATATTGACTGCTAAAAATGGGGCATGTAATTACTACATATGTACTTAGCCTAAGGTGACCAAGCCTGCAAATCCGCCTCTGACCACGCGACATTAATTATAGGATCTTTTGTGTTTAATTAATATATGTTATAAGAGTAAAGATCACCAAGAAAGCAAGACTCGTTAAGACGGCCCTTTTTGATGACGTACTCTGTCGTCTCTAATTAGATTACACCGCAAAAGAACCGACGTAAAGATGCGTATAGATAATATATACATAATCGTTTCCAGTGACGTGAACTACCGTGCGAACATTTGGGCATTGAAGGAGGTCGGATGCACACACATCCTCGCTACTACCGCCACTGGTTCGCTGGTTGAGGAGTACAAGCCTGGCGATCTGGTTATACTCGATGACTTTATTGATAGGTAAGTGATGAATGGTAGTTACCTACTTACACAAAAGGAATTGCCTATGTCCACAGTAATTTCCTATAAACAGAATCTCATAATACGTGCCTTACGGGCAGTCAACACTAGCTTTCAGACAGCGACTTCGCCTGCATCCCTATTCAGTTGCACTATACAGTTGGTATATATAGCCTATAAAGTTAATTCAAGCTTAGAATTATCCTTATACCAGATCAATATTTTTTTTGTAGTCTTTGCGTAAAAGAGTTACAAACATACGTTCATCTTTCACGTTTATAATATTAGTAGGATTTGACAACTTTTTGAGTTTAAAAGTTTAAACTCAAAAAGCCCAGTTTAAAAGACTACTATAATCTGAGAAACTTCAAAAAAATGTGTGTTACCGTATTAGGATGCACTCAAACGAGCTTTGGCTAAAAACAGAGAGTGTTCTTGAGACCGAGTTACTAGTTCGAGTTCAACCCTTGTACAGTTGCTATATTTTTCAATTATGCTTTCTCGACATGTTGAGATAGCATTGTGAGTTTAAAATTCACCAAATAATGAAGATTACATTTGGCTGAACCATTAGAACGTGGGGTCGTAAATGTACGTTCTACGACCGCAACGAGTGCGGTCCGCGCGGGGTGTGCCACCTGCCGATGAGGCCCGCGTTCTGCGCCCGCGCACGCGCCGCCTTATACGCCGCCGCACGCGACCGCGGCTACACCTGCCACAACGCTGGCACTGCAGTTGTTATACAGGGACCCAGGTAGGACATCTTTCGTAGAAGTATAACATAAAAGAACCATGTCCACTTTCCATACATTGATTGTCCTGTTACATGTTTGTTTTAAAGCTCACGTCTACCCACCTTTAATGACTACCTTAATTAGTTTTTGCTTAAAATTTGGAGTCCAGAAAGATTCCTAATTGGTAATTATAAGGTGTCAAAAGTCGAGATAATAAGGAAGTATTTTAAGAAAATAAGAAAGCACTAAAAAGCACCTCACTAGATGGCGACTCTAGCAAAAGTTGATTTTTGCAGGAAACGAATGGATCAAATATAGTCATATCTGTTCCTTATAACTAACATATAAAAAAAAAACTGAAATTAGCGAAGTTCGAAACTTAGAAATCAATACAAATGCGAAAGAGTACAAAGAGAATATGAGTTGTTTATTGAGTTTTGAAAATTAATTAACTTATATACATGAAAGAAAACCGAGGTGTTGTCATGGAAGAATCAAGACAGTACCGTAACGACATCTAGTTTGATTTCGGGAACTATGCGAAAATAAAAATACTTCCTCATTGTGAAGCTACTTAAAAAATAATGCATTCAAATCAAAGTTTTTATAGTTTGACTCGTAAACATTAAAATAAATCAAAATTGTAATTGTGGATGTGACTTTTGAACTTTTTTTTTTAATATGGACTTGTTCCGTTATACACGGAAATTTTGCCAACACCCGTAGCTAGAAAGACACATGACTCAAGAGACTGAACGATAGTTATAATTAACCAATTCATCCTTGCGATTGTTCTTCCTCTACTAAAAAAAAACAGCACAAAAGCAAATAACACTATAACTTCAATATTTAAATACATAAAAGAGGATTTTGCAACACTTATTTTTATTATTTGACATTGTTTTTTTAATAAATTTTCAAAGATGACGAAATAATAATTTCCTGTAGTGGATTAAACAAACGTAGCAAACCGTCATTTTAAATCCGAATCGCATTCGGGTAAATATCATTTTTTATCCTCACTTTATTTTAAGATTTAATTTCCTGATATTAAATATGTAAAAGATAAAACTACATTTTGAGATATATCACATTACCAAACGCGTTAGTGAATTTTTGGGTCAAAATTGGATATGATACTTTATTCTCTGTAATTATCATTATTTTATCAATCATTCAATGATATGGCAATTGCTGTGTATAATTATGGGTTTTGATGTTTTTGTACCTTATTTATAAGTCCAAGGAATACCCTATCTTAAACTGTTTGTATCGTTTATTAGATTCTCAAGTCGCGCCGAAAGTCTTATGCATCGACAGTGGGGTGGACATCTCGTCAACATGACCACTGTACCAGAGGTGCGGCCTATAGATTATTTATACCATAATACATTCATCTAAATAATATTTACTTCGACGATGTTAAGTGGTGATGAAAATACTTTTCTACAATATTTCGGGTCTGAGCGGTTAGTGTAAGTTTTTCTGACGTTTACGTTCACTGTCAATCGTGAGTGCGTTAAGATTTTAGTATGAAATCCAATACCAAGAAGTACAAATATCCAAACAAATTCTTAACGCGGTCACTAGTGAACGCGTTAGCGTAAGACTTACACTTAATTACATTAAAACACAGAATACAGAATTTAACATATCAGTGTCGTTTGTCAATTTTAATCTTTATTAAGTATATAAGTTTATCTGTTTAAACCATAGGTTCTAAACACTGTCCCCTATTGGGGCACTGGAGCTTTTCATATGGGTAGGCATTATGCGGGCCCCTCGCCGAATGGGAATGTTATATAATAACTATCATGTATAACCATCTAAAATATTTTAACTACTTATTACCTACGTGATTGTTTTTCTCATAAAAAGGGTGGCAATCTATAAAAGGTCGAGGACGTAATATTAGGGGAGCCCAAGCGGGGATTTCGGGATTTACTAAAGCGCGGCAGATTAATATACAGGGGGATACCTTGTACCCAGTTAAGTACCTGGACCAAGTATGAGTCCTATATAAATGGCCGCCCGGCAAGGACGAAGGATCAGATTAGTAAAAAAAAATTGATCATCTGAAAATCTCGAGCGCGTCAGATTAAGGTAAGGTGAGCTAGTTACATGCTAAAAAGTGTACATACCTCTAATCTGACAATTTGAGAGTGACGTAAAGAAGGGGGAAGGCTACTGTTAGAAACTAGCTGGCAGTTGGCATAGTGTACATATTTAAGAAGTTTTTATGACATGTTCCTTTTATATAGTTTTTTGACTTTTAGTATATTCTTTGATTTTGTGATTAGTAGCTTAAAATTATTGTTCTGTAACCAACTTATAAACTTATGTAGTAATATTATATTATTTAATTCATTTTATTTAGCATTTCATTATAAAGTCCTCGCTCTAGTAGTTATCAGTTACAAAGTTGTAAAAAAAAACGTCAATTTGACATTCTCGAGCGTGGCTAATTTTTTTTTTTTATTTTGAAGGGAATCATTCAAGGATTATGAAAAATATATAATCTGACGATTTTCACAAGCCGAAGTAATAAAAATTCATCGATAAGATTTAATGCGAGCAGCTACATATTACTGCATAGCTACATATTTCCTTCTCCGCATCACTATTTCTCTCTCACTCTTTTTCTATCTATTACTCTCTCACTCCGTCCTCACTTTATTTCCAACGTTTTTGCTTATTTTGTTATTTTAATGTAAATTTTGTGAATTAAACTTTGTACATATTTACTAAGAGAAGAAGAGGAAGATGATTCTAGCGATGAAGATGATAATTAATAAAAAATACTATAAAAAATAAATTTTCATATAATCATTTTCTTATAAATATAAGTATTCTACATAAAAAACATACACTTTTTAATTTGCATACTAACTCCGGTGCTTTTCTATTTAATTAAGTTCAATGATGTGAAAAAAAATAAAAAAAAATTAATTGTCAGATTAGGTAAATCTCTTCAGATAATCGTCAGATTATGAGATATCACGTCTGGGGCATAAAGATGAACCATGTATATCTTAATCTGACGCGCTTGAGTATTTCAAAATGGCGATTTTTTTTTGCACATTCTAATAATAGTCACGCGTCACATCCAAATCGTTAGATTATTATATGAGAGCTTTTTTTTTAGGTGTTCCTAAATCAATTTATAAGAAAATAAGATAATTGTTTCGAAAAATATGAAGATTTTCTATTCTAAACATGTATTTGGTTTTTTAGGTTACTACGCGTTTGCTTTCCAGCGTCGATATTAAGATTCACGTTCACGTAAACACCTAAACTAACAAATCTATTGTATTTTTTTAAAATTAAATGATATTTCAGGTTGTTTTGGCAAAGGAAGCCGGCCTCAGCTATGCTGCAGTAGCTCTCGTGACTGATTACGATTGTTGGAGAGAAAACGAAACTTCTGTAAGTTTATATAAAGTCGATTGTTGTAGTGCTATAAATGGCATGATAAGAAAGACTTAAAGAGTTAATTATTTCTCTCCGAGCTAAAGATTTATGGTAACGTGTTATGCCATACGTAAATTGCATAGCAGCGCCATCTCTTGACAGTGTGCAGAAACTTGTCTTCGTTTTGCCTTTTCCATGTAGAGATTAATGTAGTTACAATTTCGTTGTATCAGAGTATTTCAGATTGCAAAGCAATATTATGTACAAAAATATGTAATTTCATCATTAGGTATCCGTGGCCGAAGTCCTAGAGATGTTCAAAAAGAACGTGAAGAAGGCAGCGGACGTGATCATAGACGCGGTACAGATACTAGCGGCCGATCAAGATCTGTCCTACTTGGACGCACATAAGGTACACATATTAACACCTGTGATTAATAAAGCCCTATCGAAATACAGTTGAAGCTTATTCAAGTTAAAAAATATGCAATACAACTTAGACTAAAACATCTTATTCGGAAAAAAATATACGTAGCAGAAGCTATAGAACAATCTTAATGTATTGGAAAAGCATTTGGTACCTGACTGGAAATTACCACTACACTTATAATTTGTTACTTTATCTGAATCAAATATTTAGGGTTAATAGTTAAGTTTGTAATTTCTGATTACAGGAGCTAGTTGCTTCAGCTGTGATGTTGAAGGAATGATATGAGAAGAAAACTTCCAAATAAAAATATACACATAAGTTATAGTAATATAAGTCACTATTTTTATATACAAATATTTTATATTCGGAATATTTTATAACATTAAGTTAAACTCACCATATCAGGAATGCAATCGATTGCTCGATGTCTGGACTCAGAAATAATTGTTTACTAGCATTTTGTTTAAGTCTGCCAAGTCTACATACTTGACTGGTTTAAGACTTGGAAGAATAATGTTAATAGTAATAAAAAATATTCTATAGGAGTTACAAATTCTTCTATTGAAGGGTAGTCTTGAAAAATTATCAATATATTTAAAGACACACGCGGGTTACTAATGAATTTTACTGAAAAAAAAATCATATCTGTTTAAAAATCAAAAATAAGACATTGACTCAAATAAATTACTCAGACACGTTAAGTTACTAATCATAGCTACTTGATTAAAATATTAGACTAGTCTGTACAAGGCTTCAAAAGACGTTCAACCAGTGAAATAATAATTCAAAATAAAATAAATAAAATGAAAAAAAAATATATTTAAAAATAATTGTTTGACGCACAGAAGTGGTGTTCACACATAGAATTATAAGTAGATCAATCACAAACATATTTGACTAAGATTGCACATTCACATGCGTTTTTACTGTTTAAAATAGTTTTAAGTGCTTAACTAAAAATGTGTAATAATCAGTATTTCACAGACCTCATTAATCGAATAGAATAAAGAACACAAAATGTTGTATTATTCATACATTATTATGAATATGATTGTAATGTTATTCTTGAATAAAACTATTTTCCCGTACCATTGTATCATTTATTTAAATCTTTAAAATCCTCATACAAAACGATCAAACTATTTATTCTTAAAATCTAATCACTCACGCTTTCCTCTTAACTTAACTTCTCATTAACTTATTTATTACATACGATTTACGTATTTCTTTCATTATATTGTGCATTACTTGATCTATGATTAAAAACGTTCGAAAAGTTCTTACTATCTACCAGCTATTTTATAATACACTTGACAATAGACATCTGCGTTCACACCGCAAGTCACAGAACCTGCAAATCAAAACGTTAAATATTATTTTAAAATACGTAAAGTTATTTTCAATACTAGATTATTCTTACAGATAAGATTTTCTAGCGTTTATTAGAAGTCGGAATAATTATTTTTCTTTGAATACTAAACAATAATGAACGTCTGATTAGGTGATACTTTATATAGCGCTTCGTAGTAAAATAAAACTAATATAGCTCAGATGAGTAAAAGTTTAAATTTAGAAGCGCAGCAGAGCTTGACCAACCAATGATTCAGATATAATCAGTTTAATTTGGAGCATACTTAACGCGATCCTTTAATATGAAGTATTTGAATTTGTCAGTTTTTAATGACATTATTACGTTCTTAATTATTTTTTTAAATTAAATCCATTATACAAGAGGGATCGGACAACTTTCTAAAATGAATTTTAAATTAATTATTATGGGCTCTTATTCCCACAAAAAATTACATTTTATGTAAATTTACCTCATTATGTACCCAAACCTCAGTTTAAAATTTAACTGTTTAACTGTTGTGTTAAAAAACCACGTAAACGGCGACTCGGAGGACGCGACGTTATTTGTGGGGTAAACAAAAGGGATTTTCAGTGGAAAAAATGAATCATCGTATGCAGTACTTTTATGTAAACTCACAAATATATAAAACAGTAAACTGACCCTTGTAACCAGTTAAAAATAAAAAAAATCATAATTATTTTGCACTTTCAAAGTTTCCCACACTTTTCCTAGATACATTTACTACCGATTTACTCATAAATGACGTCACGCGCTCTGATTGGTGTTTCATTTGACGTGACAAATATTTAAAAATTGCGTTTTGTTTAATTGATTTGTAAGTACAAAATCTAAACTGATAATTTAGAATAATCAGTTTAGATTTGGTACTTTTCTCCATGCAGAAACCGGGCAATAGTGAATGAGACAGAAACCTAATATGTTTAATTTAAACACTATAGTTATTAAAATAAGAATAATTACACATTTCATTCATTCTGTCATTGTCAAAAATGGTGGATTTGTCAGAATTGTGCCATATTAAGTAGTTGGATCTTACTGTACTTGGCAAATGTTTCTTATAAAGTCATATACAGTGCTTTTATATTATTCTTCTTATCTCTTTACACTGCAGAACTTTAAGTGTTAAACGGTGACGAACATCGATAGTTGCTGTATTTTCGTATATTAAAGTTCTACATAACCCTTTAAAGTAAATAAATAAATTTACCTACAATTTACAATAATAAACACAATAGGCAACTTGACTGTTCAGGAAAAGTATTTTAAAACTTGTAAGGGCATATTAAACCATCAGCAGAATTATTTTTCTCCAAAAATTTTTATTAAATAAAGGGATAAAATACAACCAATCATGTGATTCTAGTCGTGACGTCACTTTTCAAAAATAACTCAACTTTTCACAACAAAGACGTTTTGTTTATTGAAATGTGTGTCGTTTCGATTCTTGTAATCCACAGATTATAAATCGCAAGTTATATTGGAAAAAATATGCTTAAAATCTATTTTACAACAAAAACATTGTTTACGCTACAATAATTATTGTACCAGGACTTCGTGGGGTGAATTAGTTAACTATACTCAACAACTTTTACTATGTGAGCAACACAGAATACGCGGAAAAATTATGAGCTGTTTCATACAAAATTGTTATACCTACAATCGCCATCAGTATGAAAGAGCTTACTATTTTTACGTGAATTCGGTGTTGCTCCCATAGTAAAAGCTGTTCGATATAATTAAATCATCCATCCCACAAGTCCTGGCCCATAATAATATTACACTTTATATACTATATATTGGGTTGGCACAAAAGTAATGAAACACACTAGAAAAATCTATAACATTTCCTTTTTAAAATCAATTTTTTCGATAATATTCTAGAATGTTGTAGAACATTCTAGATACTTCTGGTGTAGGGCATATAAAGCCGCGCTCGCGATTTGTTTAGTCAGTTTGAAGAAAAATGAACGAGCGACAAGTTCGAACACTATACTTATACGAGTACTTGTTAGGCCACAGTGCGCGGGCTGCGGCTGACAATATCAACAATGCATTAGGCGCTGGAAGTACAAGTCATGCGACGGTGTCCCGATGGTTTGACCGTTTTAAATCAGGAGACAGGAGCCTTGAAAGTCATCCACGCTCAGGGCGACCACCCGCAGTGAATGATGACGATTTGCGCCGCGAACTGCAGTTGAATCCGGATGCTACCACTCGTGAATTAGCGGAAGCACTTAAATGCAGTCACCACGCCGTGGAACACCATCTGCATGAGCTTGGTTATCGAAAAGTTTTGGCTCGGTGGGTACCGCACATCCTTACAGACGCCAGTCGTGCAGTCCGTGTCGCTATCTGTCAGTCACTTTTGCTGCGACCCCCGACGTAAAGAGTTTTTGTCAGATCTGGTTACTGGAGATGAATCATGGATTTATTACGAGAACTATACACGTCGTGCTTTTTGGCTGCCTCGAAAAGAAACGCCACCCAACTCACACCGAAGCTGAGTCAAAAGAACCGCCGAAAAATTCTGCTTTGCTGTTTCTGGGATGCGCAAGGCATACTGTTTTATGAGCTATTACACAATGAAACTATAAACGCTGACAAATATTCAACCCAGCTTACCAAGTTATCTGCCGCTATCAAGAAAAAACGACGAAGACGAGTCAATGTAGTTTTACTGCACGATAACGCTCGACCTCACGTCGCATCTGTGGTTCGCCGGTAGTTGGAGAACTTGGGCTGGGAGACGATACCCTACCCACCTTATTCCCCAGACCTCGCCCCATCAGACTATCATTTGTTTAGAGCCCTGAAACAGCATTTGCGGGGTAAACAATTTAATGATTTCTCTGACGTAGAGGCGGAGTTGAACAACTTTTTCGAGGCACAGCCATCAGAGTTCTGGGCAAAAGGCATCCAAACTTTGCCGGATCGTTGGCAAGAAGTCTTAGATACTAATGGTAATTACATCATTGACGTAACTTTTTTTATTGTAATAATAATAAAAAAGTAAAAACTTAACCAAGTGTCTCATTACTTTTGTGCCAACCCGATATTATAAGCTTCCATTTTTTTTTCATTCCATTTTTTTTCTTGCGCCATGGCTAGTCCATTTTTTTTTTTTTCAAAATGAATTGGTACAAATGTCAAGTTACCAATATTAAAATGTTTTTTTTTTCTGTGTAACGTTTGTAGTGATATAAATAGCAGTATCTACGTACCTACTGTGCAAGTTTCGTCTAGTTTTTCGGCCAAGGGTTGCGGGCGTGTTGTCCTGGTATCATATCAAGCAAGTATTGCCGCTGAGCTTCAGCCACGCGCTGCATTTCGGCCGCCATCGCCGCCCCCCCTGCGCCCCCGCCCCCACTCGAACCCTTGCCAGCTGACAAATAAACAATGCTCTCAATGAAAAACGCTTAAATTTTTCATTAATAATCCAGTATAGCATTGTGAATGCAAAATCAATTAAATATAATAAATAAACAGTATCTTTTTAAGCTTTCATGGTAATTTACATTAGAACGATTGACAACAAAAACAACATAAATGGTAGCAATCGTGTGAAAAAATATCATTCTAAAATAAACAAATGTGACAAATCACCACAGACTACCACACACTACTGTTAAAAGAAAAAACATTGACTACTACTGGCAGCACTAATTGTCGATTTTACGACGGGCAACCCTATCTGTCAGATAGCTATCACTGACACTTTGTATAGGACATTTGATAAGTTTCGCGCGAATATGCTGGCAGGTTGTTATTCTTGTAAAACTATTGGAATCGGCATGGTAATGTTAAATATATCAATTGAATAGTAGAATGTTTCTCTCACTACAAATCAAGAGAAACAGTTGGGAAACCATAGAGGTATAATAGACCATTTACACGAGGCCAGTGGCCGACAATCCAGTGAGCCAGGCAAAGCAGCAGATAACAGCTATTATATAATAACAATAAGTAACATGTGTTGGAATACGTACAGCGCTTACCTATGGCGGACGCTTGCGCCATGGCTAGTTGGTATGTGTACAGGAGCGGCGAGAACTGCATCATTGCCGCCGCCGCAGCCGCTGGTGACATCCCTCCGCTTCCGCCGGCACCGCTCAGACCTACATTCATTATATTTTTTTTCACCAATGTGTTTTATTTTTTGATAATCCATACTAATATTATAATTGCATGTCTGTAAGGATGTATGTCAGCGCGAATCTACGGGGGGGGGGCAAGTGGGGGCAGTCATCCTGAGCGCCACAGTCAGGGGGACACCAAAATAAAAAAACCATGAAAGAGCTTCTAAAAAATATGAGGGCGATATGTTTTCAAAATTTAAGTCAAATAAAATAATCATACACTGCAAAATGTGGAAGTATAAAATTCCATAGGGGTAGGTAGGGTAGGGTAAGGGCGCAATATAAATTTTCTGCCGCGATCAGAAAAAATCATAGATCCGGAACTGATGTATGATGATTTTGATGAAATTTGGTATATGCTGGCGGAAAGCTAGTCTTTATATAATAAAGCGAAAGGTCACTCGCTCATCATGTAATCTCAGAAATTACAAGTGATAGGAGATGCAAATTTTCATGGGGGGTTCTTTTCAGGATGAAGAGGCTCTCTAAGACGGCATTTTGCGAAATTCGACCCCTATGTAGTTACTGTTGAGGTTGTAGTTTGTATGAAATTTCGTCACTACAAGTGCTGGGAGTCCCAAATTTCACATATGGGTTTTTTTAGGACGTTGGTGCTAGGTCGGGATTTGACGAAATTTCACATTAAGTGTAGAATTTCGTCAAATCCTTTTTTTTGGGTGAAAAGTATAAAATTTTATTAAAAGTGCCTTAAACATTTCATAACCACACCGACCAAGTCGCGGGCAACAGCTTGTTGTATACATAATGTGAGATTGTCCAGTAAATCAGAAACTAACATCTACATCTAAAGGTGGGAATATTTTTGATAAAATCGATGTATTTTCCAATCTACAAAACACTATACTACATTTATAAATAATTTGAAGTGGAGCGTTTTTTTAATACTTTAACAAAATATAGATTATGGATTCTTTTAGGATGACAACTTTGTTGATGAGACAACTATAGATGCAATTTGAGATTAACCTCGAAATCTACTTTTAAATAACATTATTTAAAACTTCATATTGGAGAAGAACTTTGTGAATGCATTGAAAGTTATCCCAATTAAAGACTGCTCTGGACCCTTATCGAATAAAACATGATTATAAAAGATTATCTACTTGATAATGAATAATTTCTTATTTTACCTCTTAGTAGTTGATGTTGTAGAGCTTGCATAGCGGCTGCGCTATGCTGTTCAAATGCCATTTGCGCGGCCGCCGCCGCCGCCAGTTGCTACAATTATAGCAAACCAAACTCATTATCTTCAATAAAAATACTTAAAAAAAAAATAACCAGTTCCAGGTGCTCCGAGATCGGACTCGAATCCTTCGCAATCCGGGCAACTGTTCTAAAAATTGAGCTACCAGAAACCCAACAGGACTGACGAATTTCCCAAGCACTAGTGAGGGTATATTCATCAATATTCAGACTTAAACTCACTATATCTAATAAACGAGCCTGAATCTCGAAAACAGCACTAACAATTTTAATGAAATTTAGTGTGCACGGATTCCGGGGGCGATAAATCATTTTGCGAGGTTTTATTTACCAATAAAAAAATACCGAGCAAAACTACATAAAGATAAACATGTATAGTTCAAGCTATAAATAGTGCGGTTAGCGATTGATCACTACTTTTTTCTTAATTATACGGATTTTTTGTGTAAATTCTGCTTATTTAGCCTGTTACAACATTTTTCGAACCAGTGTGATCTGCCTGTACTTCAGTAAGCGACGCCACCATATTTTTACTTAACATAAACAGCTACTCATATTTTAATTACATATACACGAGTTAATATGAACATTTCTTTGTGTTATGTAAGAGTGATTGAAATTCATTCAGTGATCAGTTAACTAACGAGACGAGAGATAACCAGCAAGATTCAGAGCAATTCGTTAGTGTGGTGAAATTATCTAGGTGAGATTATGACAGAACAGTGATGTTAAAGTCCTGTATTTTGCAATCGGAATGTGATTTTTCTAACGCGAATAAATTATCAGATTGTGAACTCCATTGGCATTAATTTTATCCAGAAATTCAGCTCGTAATAGAAACATTTTCTGCGAAACAAATTTCTATGAAGTTTCTGACTGTGAAACATCGGAACACAAGATTAATAAATAACTTTTTCGCATTAAAAAAGAGTTTCAGATATTCATAATTGTTTAGATTCAAACGAAAGTTCGACATATGAAAATTAAATATTATACTATCTATATTCCACTCACCTGATGTTGTTTGCTACTACTGCTTTGACTGGTGCTACTTGAAGATGAACCTAAAACATACCCAGCAGATAACACTCGATACACGAGTTCAATGATCATTCACTCAAAAGTTATATCTTCATACGGTTTAATGAATTTACTATGAGTTTAAAATGTTAATGGATTCTGAATTATTAAGTTGCTTTATTAAATAGCTGTACGCAAACAAATTTACTTGACATCACCGTTACTAGACACAGGCAGATATATCTCTTTACTGTAAATAAAGTTTCTACAATCTAAAAGTATAGTTAACAGCAAATCATTATATCCCAATGTTTTAAATATCTGCCAACATTGATTAATTGTTTATTGTTAAAGCACATAAATTAGTTTCCTAACCTATTAACCGATATGTAATTCAATGTTAAATAGTAAATATCGTCAATTTATAATTTTACTAAAACTATCATCTACTTTTAGTTTATATTCTATAGAAACAATATAAACTAACGATTTGTATAATTTTAAGTTGACATATTATAAACAAATACCAGAAGTAATAAAATAAAGTAAATAAAACATTCGATACGAGCTAGTTACCTTTACCTTTCTTGGCGGGCACCTCGCTGGTGTCGCGTCGCTCTGAATGATGGCTGCGTAATGATTCCGGCTGCGATGACATAGACCTGTGTACGAGCCACTAGCATAGTAACACAACCACAAATATACACCCGATATGACTGATTGACGACAAACGCCATACAAAATTAACCAGAACGGTTATCAATTAAAAAAAGGTATAAAATTATTTAGTGTACAAATCTGACAATAAATAGGGTATTACAACCATTTTGAAAAGCGTCTCAATACCCTAATAAACAACTGAAAGAATACAGCATTTTTATTCAGTCTCAGTGCTATAAAAAAAACATTCAAATTCGCGCGACTCTAACGAAAAGTTGGACGCCATGTTGCTCTGTGTTGATGTTGTAAACAAACAAGTTAGTATTATAATTTTTCAAATTGGTACAGTAAATAATATCGGCGTTATAAAAGTTTCGGCGAACTATCTACATCATTCATAATATTAATTTCTGGTTATTTCTGTTTCGTTTTGATACCGATTTGTATAATAAAAAAAATCTGTGGTCACTTACTTTGCCTGATGACTGTACCAAAACAAAAACATTGTTTAATATTTCATAATAAACAAGTGTTTCTAAAATAACAATATCCTTAATAACCGAAATCACTACAGAAACAATTTAAAATTCAGTGTTCGATACAAATGAATATGTTGGAGCTGAATATAGGCGTAAAACTTATTGAAAAAATATATTGACAATGAGGAAGTATTTAAAAAAAATATTAGTTCCCGAAATCAAATTAGATGTCACTACGGTACGTTCTTTATTTCTCCATGACAACCTTTCCGGTTTTCTTTCAAGTTTAAAAGTAAATTAGTTTTAAAACTCAATAAACAACTCATATTCTTTGTCCTTTTTCGTATTTGTATTGATATCTCAGTTTCGAACTTCTCAAATTTCAGTTTTTTTATATTATGTTAGTTAAAAGGAACGGAAATGACCGTCTTTGGTCCATTCGTTTCCTGCAAACATTAACTTTTGCTAGAGTGGCCATTTAGTGGAGGTGCTTAGTGCTTTCTTTTATTTTGAAATACTTCCTCATTAATAATTATTATATAGCGTCATATTTTGACAACGACAGACATCATTATAAATTTTATTATCATACCTAGCAGGCGGTGGGGCGGGTTTAGCAGCGGGCGGCGGAGCAGGCGTAGAACTGGGCGTGGCGCGAGGGCTCGCTCGTGATACTGACATCTATAAGGTAAATGTTCCATATTTGTACCCAGACGTTCAGATCATTGTTGGTCATCGAAAAATATTTTTTTGTGCTTTGGAGCAGAATTATGGTAAACACACACCATTTTGGCAAAAACCAACTTAAAAATTGTTATATCGAGTGAAATATATATTTTTCAATCCATATCTTTGGTGTCTTACACCATTCAAAATTTGTTTTACTTGAAGTTGCAATTTTTTCACCAAAGTATCAATACATCATTGTTGTTTAATTAGAGAACAACTTAAGCGAGGATTTTATTGTTTTGAAATTGTTTATGGATGGTATTGATCCCAGCCAACACAGATTAGCTGAATAAATTTTGCGTAAAAGCAATTCTTTTGACTTTAAGCTGGATAAAGTATTTGTATAACTTCTGTGTAAGCGCTTATACAGATGATATTCAAGCAATTTGGGCACAAAAGATCTTGCTTCAATTTGGATAACAGTTGATTAATAGCTACATAGCAGCTGAATAGATGTACAACACACTGAATATCTTCTGCATAAATTCTGTTTTTTCTTCAGTCCAGAAATTATACATCTCTTATGCAGTTGTTAATTTGTGAGTTCAGATATTCAAATGATATTCACAATTCCGATCTCAGGGGAAGTTTTACAAAGAAATTATGCAAGTAAAAAAAGTATAAATGTATTTTTCATTGTGACGAGATTATTTTGTGTTACTTGTTCAAAATATTATAATGGTCGCCAATTCACGTTTTCAAAAATTTGGTAAGCAAATTGTTTCATACATTTTAAGTGAGTTTAAGGTGAATTATATAAACGCATGGCACTTTACTGTGAATTATCAATATGATTATTATACATTTTTTGAGCGCCTTCAGATAAAGCTACAAATTAAAAGGTAAACAAATGTGAAATAATATTTAAATTAAATTATCTTTACTTTTTATTAAATTTCAGTCCTAGAAAATAATGAGAATCAAATTTTGTATAACTGCTAATGTTTCCTGCTCACTAAACAAAGCGTTTCATAAGATAAATGTTGAAGATTTTTAAAAGAAGAGGTTATGTCGAACGTTAGTTAATGGCGGACGGCCTATTTGAATAAAAGTATCTATTTCAGTTATTATTTTGCTTATTTCTGCATAATAGTTCACATACGACTACATATCCAGAAATTATTTGGTTTAAAGTACAATAATTATATATTTCTCAGAGAAAGGTCTTAAATTACATAATGCAGTATACTCTAATTCAGCTTTTTAGGGTTCTTTTTATAGAAAATAAACCATGAATATTTGAGGTTGATGGGACCTATACTAATGTAGGTACTTTTTATACACTCGGACTTGTTGCGCTCATGTAGTCAATAAGTAAGATACAAACGTAAACATCGAGATTTATTATATAATGTTAGTATTTATAATAGTGTTGTAGTATTTTTGAAGTGTTATAGAAAAATTGTATATTTTTTTCAGAAACATGTTCAAAATCGTTTCGACTTATAAAAAAGGCCGAGTTGAATTATAAACAGTGCCCGCTTCTAGGGAAAACAAAGGAGTATTATACTGGCCAAAAAAAGGCGAGCTACTTTGCAAGAACCCGAGGAAAGCTAAGGAAGAATTATTTCAAATGTTGAACAGAACTGATGGAATTAGAACAACATAATTTTTTATTTATTGAAAATAATAATAATATTTTTTATTAAATACTGAGTTTTCTTCCAAATCAGTAGAACTTGAATCACTATGAAATTGTGATTGATATGCAAACATGTCACGCATATAACTCTCGTTATCTGCATCTAAAGTTGGACCCGTTCTATTTGTTTGAATCACTAATCCTGATGGTGTTGCACAATCATCATGTACAGAACCCTCTTCAACTGTATTAGTCGCACTCTTGACTCGGGCCTATTTGTATTAGTTGTCAAACCCTTTTCTATTACTGCACAGATACTATTTTTTATCTTTTCATACTCTCGTGAATACTTTCTTCTTATTCCTCCCGTTCTTTTTCTTTTGTCCATGAATCATTTACGCTTTTGTTATTATTTTCTGAGGAGGCATATTGTTGATGCAGTATTTATCAGTTTGGTCACAAAATTGTGAAATATCTGGATATAAACATACGATATCTTCAACTAATCAGTTATTTGCTGCTTAAGATACCCACATTTGTAACTGATATTGTTTTAAGCTTAACACAAAGACAATTGTACGCTTATAGCGCTATAAGTTAGGTAAAACAAGGAGTTTATTTTCAATTATGCAGAAGTCAGCTGTGTAAAGAAGAAAAAATCTAAAATATTCAGCATCTGAATAAATTAGTACCATTTCGTACACTATGCAGCTTAAAGAAAATATTTCGTCTAATATTCAGCGTTTCGCTGTTTAACTGCTTTGCATAAATATGTTATACAAGACAATGCAAAAACTTCAGCTACTGTGCAGATAAAAGCTGTTTCAATTACTTTTATTTGAATATCGCTTGTTTAACAGATTCTACTCTTGCTTACTATTCAGCTTGAAAAAATATCGCAAACTTTATACAGAATTTAGTAAGCTTACAACATTATTTTAATTTTAAAATTCTCTTATTCAAAATAAACCCATAACGTCATCTGTAAAGCAAAAGTAATAAAGCTTGACACTGCTTATTGTGGTATATTTTCGCTACTATCTGGCTTATGTGTTGGCTGGGATGTAACAAAAAATGTATAATGATAATAAAAATGTTTTTTGCTATCGTTAATCCTAAATAAATACTATAATAGTACCTGTAACGGTCTGTGAGCGGGTGGTGGAGCGGGCGGGGGCGAAGCACTAGGCGCACACAAGCGTCGCTCGATCTCTTGTTCCTGTTGTAGGGCGCGTACAAACGCTGTTTTCAAACGAGCAGTATGTTCCGCCTATATAAAACAACCAAATGGGGAATATTAATCTACATTTACTTCATCAATTTAATGTTAAATAACTAATTTTTAAATTGAGTAATTTTTTATTTATTATTAAAATTCATTGTTATGCATATTATATGCATAACGCATAGACTTTATGTGCTCATTTTACATCACGTGATTACAAACGCCACGTGAGACCACCAGAAACCACCAGTTTTTTAATTGAGAAAAGTACAAAATCTCAACTTAAATTTTATAACATTTCACAAGTTAAAAAATCCTAGCTAAATCAAACTGCTATCAACTGATCATTAAAAAACTAAAACCAGAAACAAAAACTTGCTTTAGTGACTTTTTAGTACAGTCTACGGCGTTTTTAACTTTAAATTCTCAATTCAGAAACCGGGTGTGAAACAATGAAAGTTGGTTTCTGCTTTTTGGAGGGTAGAATACCTGTAGAGCGCGCTTGACGTTCCCGGAGACGCACAACTCGGTGAGGCGGTGAGTCTGGGGAGGTAGTTTACCTTGAGGGCGCGCTTGAAGTTCCCGGAGACGCACAGCTCGGTGAGGCGGTGAGGATGGGGAGGCAGATTACCTTGAGGGCGCGCTTGACATTCCCGGAGACGCACAGCTCGGTGCGCGCTTGACGTTCCCGGAGACGCACAGCTCGGTGAGGCGGTGAGGATGGGAGGTAGATTACCTTGAGGGCGCGCTTGACGTTCCCGGAGACGCACAGCTCGGTGAGGGCGCGCTTCACGTTCCCGGAGACGCACAGCTCGGTGAGGCGGTGAGGATGGGAGGTAGATTACCTTGAGGGCGCGCTTGACGTTCCCGGAGACGCACAGCTCGGTGAGGCGGTGAGGATGGGTAGGTAGATTACCTTGAGGGCGCGCTTCACGTTCCCGGAGACGCACAGCTCGGTGAGGCGGTGAGTATGGGGGAGATTACCTTGAAGGCGCGCTTGACGTTCCCGGAGACGCACAGCTCGGTGAGGCGGTGAGTATGGGGAGGCAGATTACCTTGAAGGCGCGCTTGACATTCCCGGAGACGCACAGCTCGGCGTGAGGATGGGGGGGGGGGGGGGTTCCCGGAGACGCACAGCTCGGTGAGGGGGAGGGGGGGGGGGGGGGTAGTTTACCTTGAGGGCGCGCTTGACGTTCCCGGAGACGCACAGCTCGGTGAGGCGGTGAGGATGGGGGGGTAGTTTACCTTGAGGGCGCGCTTGACGTTCCCGGAGACGCACAGCTCGCACAGGCGGCGCGCGGAGGGCGAGGCGGTGAAGGTGGGGTCCTGCCTGCGCGGCGGCGGCCGCTCCCACCGCCACACCGGCGTGAAGTCGCACCCGCACTGCGCGCACACCGCCGGCACCGACGACCGGGGCATGCTGGACCGATTACCACCGTAACGCCGTCAGTACACCGACGCAATCGCATGCGAATGGTATGGCAATTGCTTTGTCTCGCTCTATTTTTAACTCAAAATCATTCTTAACTAGTTTTCGCCAGCGGCTTCGCCCGCGTGGACTATAGGGAAATGTTAAGTGAAATAAAAAGTATCCTATTATCTAAGTCAGCTAATACCCTATCTGTATACCAAATTTCATCAAAATTCGTTCAGTAGTTTCGGTGTGATTGACCGACAAACATCCAAACAAAGACACTTTTACATTTATAATATTAATAGAATACAAAATGCTTAAAAAATCCACTTGGTCCCTGGCACCCTGAGATGGCAATCGATCCCACGACCTTCTGCAATCCGGGCGATTTTGTATTAAGAATAATTTTCAGTATGGCATTGTGAATGCAAAATTAATCAAACTATTATTAACTCGATGAAATAGCTGCGCCCATGACAGTACAGCTTCGCAGTCAACTGCGAAAAACGTCGTAAGTCAGACACACATGTTTTGCAATCCGGGCTTCCACCCGTCCCGATTTCTGATGACTATCCAAATATCACGAATTTTGTTTCTCGGATGGTGAAAACCCTGTTCGCATTAGCATAGATTCACTGATGTTTAGCATTGGCAAGTGAATGCGGCCGTGTACTGACGGCGTAGCACTCACTACTGGTAACAATTAACTTGACACCTGGGGCCTAACCATGAGTTCTTATAACGATGTTTTATCCGTGCAGCGAGCGAGACATCGCTATTGTTCCGTACAACGCTGTCCCGCTCGCTGCACGGATTAAACATTGCTATAAGATGTGATGGTAATACCTTTGGGTGTGCAGCTCATTGAACATTAACTTGACGCGATAACAAAAAACGGTAAATAGAGTAATTAACATGATAATCAACCTACAAGAATTATAAAAAAATTAACTAGCCTATAATCTATACATAGTATAAAAAATAGCAAGTTTTGATTGAAAAGTTGCAGACAGCAGTGTCTGTATGCTGAGATCCTTTAAACTACTCAACTGATTAATGCGGTTTAATCAATATATAGTGCGATTCAAAATGACGATATATTAATGTATAATAAAAACAGGAACACGCGGGCGAAGCCGCTGGTGGTAAGCTAGTTAAATATATAAAATCCTTTAATTCAATATCTTATGAATTATTATTTTCATTCAACTCACCGGTCTTCACTAGTGATGTAATCCACCACATGTTCCAAACCTACTAAATACACAAAATCAGTGTTGCTTGGTGAAGGAATAAAGTTCATCTCAGGCGGCGGGGGCTTGGGGGGAGGAATCTGTGGACAATTGTACTCGTTATAGCATTTCATTTATTTTTTTACATTTGTAATACCAATTGTAAAGGTATATTTAATGTATGAAAGAAAATGAAACAAATAAAATGAACAAGGTCATTTCCAATCGGCTACTTGACTGTTTTGGATAAAATATTTAAAAACAAACATTTAGCCACTATCATATTTATTTTTCTCCAAAAAGAATTAATAATATTAAAAATAAAGAAAAAACTAATTTTTATTCAATGTCAACAATTTGTGAGAAAATAATGAGTCACGTCACATTTCGAACCGTGACGTCAAATTTCTATAAACACGAGTACTGGATACACGAGTACTGGATGCACTCGTAACAAAGACATTGATGTTTATTTTTTTGAAATGTGACGTCACGTGTTCCGTTATGGTCACCCTCAATTCGGTTGTTGTAATCTACTAATTATAAATCAAAATTTTATTTTGCAAAAATAAAACATACTTACAGCTTATTTAAAAAATATATACCACATAGTTCATTATTTGATATATCATCATTTGATGTTAAGTAGGCAATTTATTTTAATTTATTCATTGATTATTCATGGTTTTAAAATTCTAATGAAATGGTCAGAAAAGCAATGAATTACCTGAAGTAACGTCTTCTCTAATTGTTTACGCAGTGCTAGTTTGGCGGCGGCCTGACGCTGTGCCGGGGTCTGTGTGTCTTCAGAGCTGCGAGAACTAGCCTATGCGACAAAAAAAAAGTTTTAACTTGGTAATAAGGTCTATTTTCTGGGTCTGTGTATCGGTAAATTCGTGAAAAATAACTTTATTAAGGGCGATTTCAAGGATCGAAGATTCTCCAGACAAATTGTGTATGTATTAAAAGTTGTACCAACAAGGTTTTTGCAAGAAAAAGCAATTATTACTGATTGTTACAGCAGGTACAGTATTGAGAAGTTTCATTTCTTTCGATAACACTTTGGCTAATTTTTAAGCTAATAGCTTAGATTTTTATCATAATAAAGGTTAATTCTGTTTGTTCATTAGTGGCAATATGTCAGTCATACCAATTTTCATATTTACCGTTAGTTGCACAAACGTCCATTAAGATTAATGACACCTTTAAGCTCTAATGAATGTCAAATTGGTATGGGTAATGTCGCTTTAAACTAACTCAAAACTGGCTGTTAGTCCCGTAAAACCAATGTCAATATAATTCAAGTAGTTATTTCGAACCATTTCCAAAGAACAAAGAACATATCAGCAGAGTAGAGTCATGTCGGCAGAATTAAGCGGTTTTAAAATTTTTGAAAATAAGAAAACAACGAAACAAATGGAATCGGATTGTTAAACGAATTAGGATACTCGGGCATCACGTCTAGTGTCCGTTGAGTTACCCACATGATTATATGAGGAAGCTTTTAATTAGCTCATTAGTGTTATATCTGTAAAAATGATGAAAGCTCCCAGATCATAATAAAATAACTACATAAATAAGAAACGTTATCATTAAAATCGCAGCAAATATATTTTCTATCATATAAAATTGTATTGTATATGAGTTGAAATCACATTTCCATACTCACTGCATCGCTTGTACTACTCGTCACAGAAGAATTGTCCTGAGGCGGCTTGCATTTAAATAATATATGAAAAATTATGCTGTTATATTGGTGTGTGTACAACTAATGTATAAAATAAAATTTAACAAAATGAAATCAGGTTAAATATTAAAAATATACTCAGTGCTAAATTTACCAAAACGCCTTATATCTATCTAAACGGGTGCTATTTATTTATAAGAATTTATGTTAGACTAAGACACACTGTTCTCAATTTATACTATACTAAACTTATTATAATGTATTACCTTAGAAGAGGCGTGTTGTGAAGTAGGCGGTGGCGCTGGCGTAATAGTGACAGATGGAGTGATACTAGCGCCGCCACTCGTCGACGACTGTAAAAATATAGATGTATAGATTGGAACTTTGCTCTTACTGCCTATGTAATTAATGTAGCAGTGTTACATGTACATGTGACCGGTACGGTCCGGGCGTGAGTGTATCAGTGTTACATGTACCTGTGACCGGTCGGTTCGGCCGTCAGTATAGCAATGTAACATGTACCTGTGACCGGTACGGTCCGGGCGTGAGTGTATCAGTGTTACATTTACCTGTGACCGGTACAGTCCGGGCGTGAGTGTATCAGTGTTACATGTACCTGTGACCGGTACGGTCCGGGAGTGAGTGTAGCGCCGCCGGGTAGCGCGGATGCACGTCGTGACACGTACCCGCCCGGCACTATACTCGCGGATCCTCCACCTACACTACCAGTGCTAGACGCACCCGAACTAGACCGCTGCAACAACAATACTAGATTATAATATATATACTATAGAATTGACTAGTTAGTGCTAAAAGCGATACGCATATTTCACCTTAAATTTGTGAAAAAATATAATATAAAAACTTATAGTACGTAAAAAAAATGGATGTATTTCCTCGTCTCCGATTTTATTAGCGCTACATGCTTTTCAAGTCAGTTTCTATTAGAGAAATTTTGATTATAAGTAGGTACTTTAACAATTACGTAATGAGCTTGTCTTGCATAAAATCATTTACGTTTTAGTGCGCTCTAATAAGACCATGTTTTTAAAAAACCTTTGTATTTTTTACTTTTTAGTTTTGTCTCATTTATTCATTCCTGACATAGCATCTGAATTGCAAGCAGTTTTCTATATTATGTTGTTGTTCTTATAAAGACTGATCTAAAGAATCTTAACACGATGCACACCTTAACATTTTTTACTTTTTAGTTTTGTCTCATCCTATTAATTATTGAGATAGCATCTGAATTGCAAGCAGTTTTCTATATGTTGTTGTTCTTATAAAGACTGATCTAAAGAATCTTAACACGATGCACACCTTAACACCTTTCAGTTCCAACATCACCAGACTTTGGTCTGGAAAGCATCCAGTAGCAAACTCCTCATAAAGACGGTTCTAACATGCCCAAACACGATGTGTCATTTCATCACTAAGTTCCTATGACCCCCTTCCTGCTTCATCATCATCAGCTTACTGACACCATAATATTGCATTGTCACCTGACTTACGTATATGCAAAACTTCAAGTCCATCGGACAATGGGAAGTAAGTCAAATTTGAGTTACAAAATTTGTACACAACTAACATACTAACAAGGCAAGTTAAATAAAAGCTTGTAATAAAAACCTCTAGAATATGATCTATTTCGCGAGATTGTAAACTACCGAAAGAACGCTTTGGGCGCGGTTTGACAATCCATCTACGATAGTCTGATATCGTGGGATATTATGCCACTCCATCTTGAGTTCTTGTAGAGAATAGTACTCTTCCTCTACTCTAACATGTCTTTGAGGCTGTCCAATAGGTTCAATTGATTTAAAATCATTAATTTAAATTTCCCACCAATATAACACTAATTATTTTAAGACATAAGTCTTGAAAAATATCACACACTTTCTGTATCAAACGCAATTTTGAACCTGCATGTTCCAAGAATTCATTTTTGTATAAAAATAAATTTGTTATGAATCAGTAAAACTCATAGAACGTAAATTGTTGTTTATGATGTAGTTGGTAGTTTCACAAATAGCCCTGAGTAGAAAATATACATTCAGATAATAGTATTGTTAACATGTACCTTAGCCTGTTGATGTGCTGGTGGTGGGGCAGGAGTGACAGTTACACCAGGAGGTACCACGCAGCCACTGCCTGCTAACGCGGTACCAGTACTTGTATCCTTAAAAACAAACAGTTTAAAACATTTTCTCACTTTTCTTGTTCAAAATATTCTTCTTCAATGACGATTTTGACGAAGTAGTAATATATTTGTGTAAATATCTCTGGTTTTTATAATACGGTTCGGTGTAGACAGTAAACGAAAATAATACCTATTTTTTTTCTGATAGTGTGAAATAAAAATATAAAAAGTTGTCTACAGGTGTAGACAACTCTTAATATTATTTTCCTTAAATCTTAAGAGTTATCACAAGAGAACTAGGTAATAAGGATAATGACCGATAAGGTTCAAATTACCTTAGCTGGCGGCAAACCAGTGGACTGCTGCGATTGTCTTATCTTTCTAAGCAAAACCAACCGCGTCTCTTCAGCGCGCAATTTCTCTCGCAGCGCACGCATACGTCGTTCGCGCTCCCAAATCTCGGCACTTGACAATTCCTACAACAAAATACAAAACAATTTCTATACATAGGGTCCAACGTACCTACAATATCCAACCTTATCGCACGCTTTAAATCAAGAACTCAGGGAGCGAATTTTCACCCGCAACCGCAACGGCGGCAGAAAATGCCCACAAATTTGGTGGAAGAAAATTTCGTGAATCGTAAAAACAAAATCAATTTCGAATGGTTGTTCCTGTTGAAGTTACGTTATACTCGGCAACGCTCGCTGCCGGTACCACAAGTATTCAAACGCACATAAACATATAGTCAAAATTGCTAACCTAATCTTACAAAACGTAATTTAATTTTGGGTCTGAAGCACCAAATGCTTCAGAGAATAGGAAGACTTGATACATCATATTAAATTTAATTTAAATATTAGACATATAAATTGCTTCAAATCTAAGATTAATAAAGCAATCATATTATAGAGTAGGCATCTGAAACAAAGAAAACACCACAACTTCCAAACCTGTGGCAACATAGAAAAAATAATTTTCTATATTAATAACCCGCCTGGGAATCGAACCCTATACGTAAAATTTACTTTAGATATAACCTTTAATAACTTTTAACGTTATCTATTTGAAATAAGAAGTTAGTTATCTTTTGGTGGCATCAAAAGTTGTAGTCTAAACTTACCCTGTGCCCGATAATAGGCAGCGGAGGTTCATTCTCATCGTCTTCAGAGTCTTCTTCATCTCGAGGATCTCGTGGAGACTCCGGCGTAGCCAAAGAGCTAGGCGTTATAGACACGTTCACCGCACCAGTATTCAATCTGTTGCTTGCCTCTGAAATAGGGTTTGTTTGTTATATATTTTGTGGAAGTAACACCTATATCGTGTTTCTAGTTAATTTCATATCAATTCAAATAAACTTATGTCACCTGAGTAGTAAAGCTATTTAGTACTAGGGGGCCGTCCATAAATTACGTCACACAAAATTCAGGATTTTTAAACCCCCCACAGTCACATATTTATCTATACAAATTCTACTAAATATTGTTCTAATGACACAGTTCGTTCGTTCCTCCTAAAGTGTGACGTAATTTATGGATAACCCCTATGGATAAGTCTAAGACTCAGAGTTTAAAACATAGATTATTTATTTAAAGAAAAATCTATTTTTTTACCTTGTTCAATAAAAAATAAAATAAAGCTACGACAACTTCAGATCCCAAAGTCTTATCCATTTTAACACGAATATGTTATACTCCGATCACTACATATAGAAAATATCTAACAGATAAGCTATATTTATGACAATAAAACTATTTCTTGAATGTACAGCTGGCGTCTATTACTTGAATTATGATATAAAAATTATATTTTTTTACAATATAATTTTGCAAACTGGTTAACTAAATTGGCGCGTGCTTCAGTCGTTGTACAATTGTTTCTTGAACTGAGATAATATTTTTAATATATTAGAAACATTAAAAGGTACTGAAGCGCGCGTGCGTAAGTAGGAAATTGAACTATTATTTAGGCATGTAAAAATTGCATTATAAGTAAGCACCTAAAATGGGTTAGTATCTAATAAAGGGTTAATGTTACATTACATATGAAATAATAATAATCCTAAAAAGCAACCAAGACAAGTCTATAACAAGACAATACTAATTATAATAGTATAGACTCAAGGGTAGGTTCTAAAATGCATATTTCAGCACCTTTTAATTTCATTACATCATTAGAGTTGTGCTGCTTGGTAGCAGTGGCAGAATCTGACCAGATTGGTGTAGATTTGTGACCTGTGGTGGCTTGTTCTTTAGCTGAGAAACAAAGAAATTCTTTTCACTTATGGCATGAAAAAAAAAATACTTATAAGGAAAACTTACTGAAAATTACAAATATATTTGAAAGCATGAATTTTCACTTAACAATATTAGAACATATTAAACATTGCTTAAATAAATAAATTTATGAATAAGTAATATATACTTTAAAAATAATAATACAGCCTTTAAAAAATAACAATGAAAGGGTTTAGCCGGATACGTATGACGAGTCGGCCCCCAAATGGGAATCGATATTGAAACTTATGTTTTAATATCGACTTGATGTTCAAACACGATTTATGTACTTTTCGCGACCGACTTCCGCTTTGACCTTGAGATAGAGAGCAAAATATCCGTATGCTTGACTATTACTGAATGTGATATATCTCTAAAGCTAATTAAGATAAAGAAATGAAACTAACGCGAGGTGTTAGGTTACATTACAGAGTATATCACATATATTTTTTTATAATTTTTAGAATAAAAAATTACATTAAAAAATAAAAAATAAAAAAATCATGTTTTTTTTTCTGAGTTCTCTGTGACTTACAATCACAAAATTAATATATGTTATGCTCCTTTGTGTGCTCTATTACCCATAAAAATTACGTGAAAAAAAAGTTGGTGCAACACAACGAAAAAAAATTATATGTGATTTCTGTCTTATGGTATACCCCTGTATTATAAGGTTTTCACATAACATCATTGATTTTTTTTTCGAAATTTCACATCAGCTTGTTTTAAAACATAAGTAACTAGTCTTAAGAGATGGGATAAAAGTTAAAAAAGAAATGAAAAAAAAAACAGCCAGTGTTCAATACTTATTATTATTACTTTTTCGTGTCTATCAAAATACAAGAAACAAAATATTAATCATCGTCACTGTTGTAATTAATTACAATCGGAACACTTTGAGTCGCAAATAACTTAGTTAGGACCTCAGCAGGACGTACGATTTTGGACAAATATCATCCATATGATAGATAATAAATAATAGCTGCTACATGAGAACAGCATCCCACTGTACGTTTGCCATTGGGGCAATCACAGCAATAACGAAGAATACTATTGTAGTCATTACCTTCGGAAATATAGTAAATGTAAATTCGATAGACTTTTCTTTTTATGTCTTGATTTTACTTCTGCTTTGATGATATTAGGTGCTGATTTCACATATTGTACTGAGAGATTATTTTGATCGTCCATTATTTCGGCCAAGTTAAATGCTGCACATTTAGAAGTAGAAGCTTTTTTGTTAATATATGGGATAAGTCGACACTTCTTACAAAAAATATCATTAACTATTACGATTTTATTCAAACAGTCACTAAACACTTTAGCTTCTTCTTCATTCTTCATAATTTTTTTATAACCAGGAACCTTACACAGGTACTTGTTACAATTTTTACACTTTCTCGACATTATTACTTAATAATGATTTGGTTCGATAGTTAATAATTTGAAAATGCTGATACAAAATACCTATGACAGAATTTGAGTCCCAAACTGCCTTCTTGTGTAATACAAATGACTGCTACTTTAGCTAAACAAACGATGCAGTAAACAGCTCGATAACAAGTTCGAACTTGTTTGTTTATACACTCACACTACAAGGCGCGAATCAGATATAATTTTTTTTCGTTGTGTTGCACCAACTTTTTTTTCACGCAATTTTTATGGGTGATAGAGCACACAAAGGAGCATAACATATATTAATTTCGTGATTGTAAGTCACAGAGAACTCAGAAAAAAAAACATGATTTTTTTTAATTTTTATTTTTTAATGTAATTTTTTAGTCTAAAAATTATAAAAAAATATATGTGATATACTCTGTAATGTAACCTAACACCTCGCGTTAGTTTCACTTCTTTATCTTAATTAGCTTCAGAGATATATCACATTCAGCAATAGTCAAGCATACGGATATTTTGCTCTCTATCTCAAGGTCAAAGCGGAAGTCGGTCGCGGAAAGTACATAAATCGTGTTTGAACATCAAGTCTATATTAAAACATAAGTTTCAATATCGATTCCCATTTGGGGGCCGACTCGTCATACGTATCCGGCTAAACCCTTTGTAATATGTGTGTGCCCCTCAGTATAAGCCTCCTCCAGTGATTTGCTCTATAGTCTGTTCTGTTTCACATTCTAGTCCACATGAGGACTAACTTTTAATTTTATATTGTTCAACCATCTCGTCCGCTGTCTCTCTGCTCTTGTTATCATCTCTTGGGTACCATTCAGTCACTGTCTCACTCTCATTTCTCTTAGGTGGTATGCATCATGTGACCTTACCTCTATTTTTGTTTTTCTATCTTGTTTCTATCTCATGTAACTGCCCTTCAATACATTGCTGTTTGATATTTCGCTATAGTATGACCGTTTAAATGAGTCCTCGCCCGCGCGGTACAGGGGCGCGGGGTATGACGACAAAGGGGACCGAGAGAGGTGCGGGCGGCGGGCGCATTTTTGTTTTACCTCATTTCGATCGTTACGCGAGTAGCGAACACATGTGCTGATTTTTGCGGAGGCTTTGTGAGAGATATACATGAGATTACATTCTCAAGATGAATCGCAATATTTTCGGACATAAGGTTAATAGTCAGTGCAAGCAAATGGCTTTTAAGGTTTACGAATACTTTAGAAAAAAAAAATTGGACCCAAATTCTGTTGAATATCAACAAGACATACCTTTAAATAAAACCGTAGCAGAAGTTACTGGGCTATCGGAAAGACTGTATCAGAATTGTACAGCAAGGAAATTATTGAAAGACAACGAAAGATTCACCTCACCGAGAAAACCGAAACAAGTTCGCAGAAAAAGAGTGGAAATAGACGATTTCACAAAAGGAGTGGTAAGAAGAAAAGTGACTCAGTTTTACACAATTGAAAAAAATATACCTACTCTGAAAACTTTGAATGCTGTACTTAGACAAGAGAATATATTACACTGCGGCAGGGAATATTTAAGGCTGTTATTACATGATCTTGGTTTTAAATTTAAGAAGTGCGGTTCTAAAAGGAAACTTCTTATTGAACAGCCAAATATAACATCGTGGAGGTGGAAATACCTAAAGACTATTAAAAAATATCGTAGAGAAGGACGACATATTTTATATCTTGACGAAACTTATGTAAATGCGTCTCATAACGTTTCAAAATGCTGGCAATCAAAGGATGTACATGGCGTGCTATCTCATATCGGTAAAGGGAACCGTTTGATCATCGTACATTGCGGAGGTCAAACTGGATTTGTAGACGGAGCACTTGTGATATTTAAATCCAAATGTAAAACAGGTGATTATCATGATTCTATGAATTTCGTGAATTTCAGTAAATGGATAAATGAAAAGCTAATGCCTAATATACCACCAAATTCTATCATCGTTATGGATAACGCAGCTTACCATTCGGTTCGAGAAGAGAAAAAGCCGACTATGGCTTCTACCAAGGCAGTTATGCAAACATGGTTACGACGACAAGGCGTGGCTTTTGATGATGAGCTTAGAAAGGATGACTTATTTAAATTAATTAAAAATACAGAAACGGAAGATATTTATAAAATTGACGAGTTATTGAAGAGAAACGGACATGAAGTGTTGCGTTTGCCTCCATACCACCCAGACCTGAACCCTATTGAGATGGTCTGGGGTGATATTAAGGGACAATTAGCACAAAAAAGTGTCGACTCAAATTTGGACCAAAAAAAATTACATTAGAGGGATTATTTGCTGAATATTCCATAGAGAAGTGGGAGCATTGTGTTAACCACGTAATTAAAATCGAGGACGAGTACTGTAAACATGACGGACTTCGGGATGATGCTGTTGATTTTATTATTAACACTCAGGACGACTCTGATGATTCTGATGACGGCAGCTTTGAAAGTGAAGAATCAAGTTCCACTGATATTGATATGGACATAAGTGATTGATTTATAATTTTGATAATTCTTGTATTTAATAAATAGTACAAAAGTTTATTACTAAATATTTTATTTAGTTACCTACACAAGTTACATTTTCTTTCTTTTAAATTTTATGTAATCATCAATTGATTTTCAAATAAAAAAATCACAATTTGTTCACCGTTATCCACTATGACGTCACATATCTTAGGATCTGTCTAGTGTGCATTTCGTCTCATACGCGCGCGCCTGCTGCCCGCCTCTCTCTCGGTCCCCTTTGTCGTCATACCCCGCGCCTCTGTACCGCGCGGGCGAGGACTCATTTAAACGGTCATACTATAGTTTCTCTCTTACAGTTTTGTTAAGCGTTTCAGATCCATAAGTTAAGACATGAAGGGATGCTGTTTTTCTTCTTTTTTCTTCTCATTCTCATGCTTAGATATTGGGACTTTATAATTTCAGAGACCAATATTTCTTCAATCTGATTGCAAGCCCTATTATTTCTTTTCAGTTTGGTCTTAGTTGGGTTCATTATTAATCCTATTTTCTTGGTTTCTGTGTTAAGATCTTAAATATTTTTGGGTTTTGCGTTTAAAAATTACTCTTACAATAAAAACATTAATATCAAACTTATGATTAATAATATAACTTAAAACATGAAGATATCGTATAATTGTCCTTTTTATATACAGGCTGAGCCATAAATTAGTTAACGTTGGAAAAAAATCGCATAAAATATACCATTTGACATATTTCAAAAATTCTTAATTTTTTTAAATTTAGGTTTCTCGATGGCAAAAAGACCACGAGATAGTTGACATCTCTTCGCTGATTTTTTCTTTCAGTTGATGTAGTGCATTTGGTTTATCGATGTAGACATGACTCTTTAAATAACCCCATAAAAAGAAATCTGCTGGGAATAGATCTGGACTTCTGGGTAGCCATGGAAAATCGCCTTGTCTGGAAATCAGTTTTTCCAGAAACATTTCTTTGACCACCAGCAGGAACTTGTTGGATGTGTGACAAGTGCAGAATGAAGTGGCCTCTCGTGCTTAGTTTTGGCGTTTTCGCTGTTCCAATACTGTAGACGTAGCAGAAGCAGAAGTAGAAACTTGCTACACGTTTTCTTAGTGGTGCGACCCGAATAGGATTTTGTGACTCAAGTCACTTAAGCCAATTAACTACCTCACTTCAGTCATACTTGAGTAAAAAAATGCAAATGTATTACTTGAGTGAGATTTCTCTCAAAAATCAAAATCAAAATTCAGTAGTAATTTTAAACAAATACCTATATGATATAAATAAAACACTAATTAAAATAGTTTTGACATATTATTTATTTAAGTTATTGAGAAAATAAAAAATAAGCGACATAGATAAATAGAGTAGCAAAGTGACATCAAGTGACAAGAAAATGAACTCAATGCGCCGAGTTGACTCAATAAGTCAATTGAGAATCCAGTGATATTTTTTTTAACTTGCGTATGAGTTTGAAAAATTCACTCGAGTGACTCGGGGTAAAACAGGACTCTGGTCGCATCACTATGTAGTCTTCACTTTGAAAAGTCTCCGGTTTGCTTCACATTTAATACTAAGTGACCTATTGTTTAAATAAAATTATTTCAGATACTAAGAGCTCTGCAACCCCATGAAATGATCCATTGGGACTTCCAAGAAAAGAGTGACTGGCAAGACACTGCGCGCCCCGCGGGCCCTTTGTTTATGTGTGGTCATAGATTTAAATGTTAACGAATTCTTGGCCTACCTGTATATCAAATAAACGCCTTTTTTCTGTTATTAAAAAAATCAAGTTTGTTTAAACCTGCTGATAATAAACAATACTCAGGCCGCTACGAGGAACTTTGTAGAATGTATCACTTTCTCCCTTTAGTGAATCGGCGAGAAATTGCAGATTTGGTTTTTCTTGCAAAAATTGCTAGTGGTGCTGTGGATTGTTCTGAACTCTTGTCAAAGATTACTCTTAGAGCCCCACAAAAACAACTCAGGTTTAACCCCCTGTTACATCTACCCCCTGCGTCTTCAAACTTTCGGCAGAATTCATTCATTTGGCGAGCGTGTAATGGATTCAACGAACTAACAAAGCGAGTAAATATTGACCTTTTTAACACTAGCGAGGCGTCGATTAAGCGTGTTGTTGGTAACTTATTCTTTTTAAATAACTAATTTTTCTGATTAGAATATAGGTATATGTGTCATTATCATTATACTTTATATATGTGTTTATTATTAATATATTACTCCGTAAGCAGCGTACTTATTGTAACATTATTGTAAGTGTAAGCGATGCATGTATTTCTTACTTTTATGCCAAATCTATAAGCGAAGACCTGTAATTGGCTATCTGTTTTTGGAATGAAATTTTAATTTGTATTGTTAGCTGTTGGTCATCCAAGAGAGTAAATAAAATAAAAAAAAAAATACTTTATAAACGCAAGATTTGGTATGAGTTGATAACATTGACTGATAGTAACATCAATTAATGAGGTTATGTAAACATCTTACAAAAAAAAAAGACAGTTAACTCACACTTCGTAAACTCCATATGTTATGTACAAAATTAGTGACTAAACAAGCAAGTTAGAACATTTTTAACTTCAAAGGTAAGAAAGTTATTTAAAAACTTTTAAATTTAAATAGAAATAAAATATTCAACATTGTTAATTAAAATACCTGTGAAAATAGCAGGAGAGGGCACTGACGGTTTTCTCAGAGGAGGTGCAGCTGGCAACAGAACAATATCAGGGCTCTCGGCATAACTCCGCTGCTCCGATCGAGGTCTCAGAACCCTCCTACCACTTGCACCCTAGTAGCAGAGATAATTTTATTATTAAATAGCTTTCCACCAGCGTTTCGCCCGCGTGCTCAGCTGGTACCTTACTCATAGATCTAAACTCCCCTCTCGCACGCGCACCCCTGCCTTGGCGACATCCAATTCGCAATGGGCCATGCAGTAGAAATCGGAATATTTTAATTTTACCATAACTTCAAACCCAAACGTCCAATTATCTACATAAACTGTAGTTAGTGATGAAATAATTTATTTTGATAAGGATTAATAGCATAAGTAAAATGAACGCGTTTAAATGTAGTCCAAAAGAAATCAAGATTTTTAAATAAAAAATTGCTTGTTGTGCCTCACTCATGTCATAGATAGGTATAGTGTGTGGCGGATTTTTTTGTAGATATTTATAAGATCTACAATGAATAAGAACATTTTATGGTTCTATCTTTTATTGTTTAGGCAGCATATGCAAAATAAGTCACTTTTCTGGTTGATTTTTTACAACCAAATATTTTATGGAACCCCTTATTTCCAAAATTAAATATAGCCTATATTACTCATGGATAATGTAGTTATAATCCAGTAGTTTTTGAGCCTATTCATTTCAAACAAACAAAGTTTTCCTCTTTATAATATTAGTGTAGATGTACATCAAATTATTAAAATGTACTAGTAAAAAGTTTTCCTCTGTACATGCTGTGGCAGCTTTGTAAGTGAGGCAAACATATTGGCATGCTATTTTATTTTTGTAATAATACTATGATCAGGGTATTATCTTGTAAGCTGTCCTTAAATAAATAAATAGTATACATAGTTATAGTAACATTAGAAATTAGCAATACTAGGCACTACACCCACTAATCTTCAGCAGGCTAAGCAACTTTTTTGTTCAAAAGAATCAGGTATATGTAAAATTTACAACATTAAGATTTTTTATCTAAAAAATGTAAAAGTTGGATCAATGCATATTTGTTATTGATTTATTATACTTTATTGCATACATCAAACAAAAAGAAATATAAACATATATGCAAAAGGCAGCCGTGCTAAGGCAGTAATTTCTACCTGGCAAGTGAAAGATTTTTATACCTATGTTACAAACCATTAAACAAGGGTAAGATGAGAAAAAACTTATTTATTAAATATTTTATACTACCAAAAAATGTTTAATATAAAAACTACATAAAAAAACTAATAAGAAAAAAATACTAATATAAAAACTTCATTAAATACACATTGCTTATTATTTAAACCATAATAAAACTGGCACTTACTCTGTCAATCTATCAGATGCATGTACAGAAAAAAATACAACTTAGATTTTAAAAAAGTACATTTTTTTTAATAAAGTAAATATTTATATAACTTACATGAGGTGGTGGTTGAGCTGGTGTTATAGTCAAACCGCTTGCAGTAAGAGCTCTTAGTTCACTTAGCTCAGGTGGTAATGATCTGATATATTCAAGATGATAATAATTACATATAGAATATAGTAAACACATAACAATAAACAAACAAATTAATAAAATAAAGCTAAAACAAACTTTACCTTACACTGAGGTCAACCGCAGAGTCATCTACGTCCATTATAATTTAGGCACTGAAACAGGTAAATCACAACGAATCTTGTTCATCAAAAATCAATATTTCTGTTGTATCGATAGTAATAACTTTTGACTAAAACATAACATTCTAATTAAGTTAATATCATAATATTTTATGTATATATAAGCGATATTTCACTATACGAGAGATTATCATTTGTTAATGAAATTAAAACAGAAAAATTAATGAACACGCATGCACCACCGGGCAGTGAATACAGACAAGACAATGGAAACAAATTGAATTTGCAAAATAACTTTTAGGCTTTTTTATTTAAGCACAACTATATACACTTTAAAGATATTAATAAAATTATAATATTTACCGTATATGTTCGAAATACGCAAACAATTTAATAACAGTTTGGGAAGTTGACTAATGACAACATTCATACATTTTTCCATAAAAAAAATATGGAGTGGATTAGGATAGGGATGTGAAAATATTATAGATTTATAAAGTTTATATTAAGTACTAATAGAATCGTTTTAAAACCAGTTTGTTAATTACGATTACTCGATTATTTGAAAATTGTCTCTTTTTATTTAAAGGGTTTAGCCGCCATTGGATGGCTGTTAAGTAGTTATATATTGTATGTATGTATAGTACATAATATTGTATTCTTTGTATAGTAGGTACCAATGTGCTAGTGCTGCTGTCAAGCGATAGAAATTTGCAGCAATACGTCATATTCTTTTTAAATAATTTGAGATAAAAGGATTTTCATATAAAAATATTTTGGCCTGATTCTAAGCTTCATAACTTAGGTCTGGGGCAATATTGACTTGCGAAACTTGTATATGAATTAGCTGAATGTTTAAGATGTATAGGACTGCAACCAAAAAAATTATAAATACTAATTTAATGAGAAAGTATTTAAAAAAATAGTTTCCAAAATCAAACTAGATGTCACTACGGTACTTTCTTGATTTCTCCACGACAACCCTTCCGATTTTCTTTCATGTATAAAAGTAAATTAGTTTTCAAAACTCAATAAACAACTCATATTCTATTTGTACTTTTTCATATTTAATATGTTAGATAAAAGGAACTGAAATGACTATCGTTGGTTCATTCGTTTCCTGCAATAATCAATTTTTTGCTCGAATCGCCATCTAGTGGAGGTGCTGTTTTGGTGCTTTCTTTTTTTTAAATATTTTCTCATTGTTAATTTGCACTTTTAACCTTATGAAGAAAGAATATTTTTCCTTAATAGATTAAATGAAACGTAGTAAATCGTCACTGTACAATCCAAATCGCATAGGGGTTTTTTTATTAAAATATTTATGAGCTTCGCATTTTTTATCCTGGATTTATTTTATGAATTAAGAATTAAACACGATATGAAATAAGTAAATAATAAGCTTCATTCAAGTATTTAATCAAAGGCTACATTTTGGGATATATCACATTATAGACGCGTTAGTATATTTTTAGTTCTTCTTATTTTTCTTTTATTAATGGCTTATCTGCCCGTTTCGCATAAGTATGGCAATATCAAGTGATTAAATTAGTTGAATTATTTTTAATGGCCTTGTACCAATGTGGCGACTGATACATAGCGACATCTAATTCATCGCAGTAACATCGCCACAACAATCGATAGCGAGAAGACTAGCATCGTCACAGCCATCGATAGCAAGACGAACTGCAATAAGTTTCAACAGCAAGTAACGAGATGGCGCTGTACCAATACAAGCAGCATAAATTAATAACTACAAGACATTTAGAACAAAGAAACCTACATCGCACTGAATAAGTTTCATTACTAATTAACATAAATAGAACGTCCAACCTACATCGGTTGGACCGCGGTCCCCGGGCTAACAACACCTAGCTCGGAGGGAGACAATTATCCTTTAGTCTCCCTGGCCAGTTGTCTCCGTCACCTACAGTAGGGACCAAACCTTCAATCATACGGTTCCTAAAGTGGTGACCCCCGACAGAACATCAGCAACCTTCAGCAGGAACATCAGCAACCTTCAGCATCACAACGCAGCCATCACTCTTCATCAACAACCTCTCACCCTTCATCATCAGCTTCTCATCCCTCATCAGCACAGCCACTTCAGCAGCAAGCCAGCCAACACCAAGGTCCATCACAGCAGCATCAACGGCGCTTCCTGGATTCTTGGCACCACATGACGGCATCATCCCGACCTGGTCCTCGCAGCCCACGACCGGACCTCAGTTCACACACAACTCACCGGCGTGGCAGCCCTGCACACCAGCAGCTTCGGTCCCGACGTCACAACCATGGCACTTGCAAGCTCTGAAGCACTGACTGCATACCACCTACTATCAACATGGATCGACCTTCGGTCTAGGGGGAAAGTACTGTGGCGACTGATACATAGCGACATCTAATTCATCGCAGTAACATCGCCACAACAATCGATAGCGAGAAGACTAGCATCGTCACAGCCATCGATAGCAAGACGAACTGCAATAAGTTTCAACAGCAAGTAACGAGATGGCGCTGTACCAATACAAGCAGCATAAATTAATAACTACAAGACATTTAGAACAAAGAAACCTACATCGCACTGAATAAGTTTCATTACTAATTAACATAAATAGAACGTCCAACCTACATCGGTTGGACCGCGGTCCCCGGGCTAACAACACCTAGCTCGGAGGGAGACAATTATCCTTTAGTCTCCCTGGCCAGTTGTCTCCGTCACCTCAGTAGGGACCAAACCTTCAATCATACGGTTCCTAAACCAATATGCACAGAAATTCTGCCAACATCCTGTAGTGAGGGAGACATGAGACTCGAGAGACTGCGAAGTAGTTAAGATTAACCGATTCGTCCTTGAAGTTGTTCTTCCTCTGCCCTAAAAAGACAACACCAAAAGCTAACCTCACTATATCTAATAGGGTATTTGACAAAATTCAAAATTTATTAGCTACTTACATATGAAATTGGTGTTTGGTATGGGAGGAACAAGAAGACGAATATTTTTTAATATAATATATTTATTTAATCAAAGTATGAACCATTGTTATCTATGCACTTTTGCCATCTCATAGGTAGTTAATTGATTCCCTTACTAAAAAACCATTCGGACGGGAATGAATAGACAGTTTTATCTACCAATAAAACTTACCTATTATTAGATACCGGAATCCATCTTGAGTCAAGCACCATCCTTTTTTAACGTTTCCGGTCAAAAACACTACCTCCCCTCTTACTTCCGGCGCCTGTGCTACCATCTAGTTTTAGCGGGTAGCGAACCAATGACTATTAGACTCGAACGCTTACCGTCATTATACCTACTCTAGATGCACCAGGTAGAACTTACCTTCTTTGGTAGTTAAAACTCTCTGTTATTTGTTCCGTTCAATATTCGGAATCCATCTTGAGTGATGTGTTTGTTATCTCCCTGGTGAGTGCCATTGGTGGTCTCCTGGTGACGCTATAATATGTTGCAGGTATAAAAAGTCAAATGTAGTCTGATGAGAAAAAATAATGCAAATTATAAGTATATTATGCTAAAACATACATAGTTCATATATTATGCTGTTACATAACAATGCAATTATAATAATTATTCCAGTATTACGGTAAGCTAAGTTAAATAAATATTGGCTTATCTGTTATCGGTCAATATCATTAATGAATTGAATGGAATAATAAAAATGTTAATAAATAGATAGCGGAATTTTCTTGATTGTCCTATTTATCAGTTTTAGATAGGACTTCCTAAAAGTATATTCTTGGCGCCAGTTTACCGTTCCAGTCGTTAATCAATTGGAAACAGTTTCAGTCAATTTAGAGATGGAACTGCAGATGTAATAGACCCTGAAAAATCTTCTACATTATGTGCTTCTATTTAGCATTTCTAAGAACTGAGTCCTCTAATAGTTAACTCGTGTAAATAACTTATTTTTGGGGCTCTTCCAATACAAAAATCGATCGCGTGGCCAATACATGCATCATTAGATCATTAGATTGCATGATTTGTGTCAGTTAATCATTTCTATCTGCCTAGATAGAAATATAGCAATTATGACAGCCTTGTCATAATTGCTATTGTTTGTTTTCAATACAAAATGGGTCCATAAGACAAAAAAAACATTTTCGTCCCTATACTTCAAAGGTTACAAGGGTCAAATAATGGATTCTGTGAACGTTGTGAATGTATGCCAAATTTCCAGCAACTTGAATAGGGTCTCAATTCTGCCAATTTCTACGTATCATCTATCAGATATCTTTAGGAAAAATAATAGGTAAGTTTTATTGGTAATTAAACTGTCTATTCATTCCCGTCCGAATGGTTTTTTTAGTAAGGGACTCGATTAACTACCTATGATATGGCAAAATTGCATAGATAACAATGGTTCATACTTTGATTAAATAAATATATTATATAAAAAAATATTCGTCTTCTTGTTCCTCCCATACCAAATACCAATTTCATATGTAAGGAGCTAATAAATTTTGAATTTTGTCAAATACCCTTTTAGTTATAGTGAGGTTAGCTTTTGGTGTTGTCTTTTGAGGGCAGAGAAAGAACAACTTCAAGGACGAATCGGTTAATCTTACTTCGCAGTCTCTCGAGTCTCATGTCTCCCTCACTACGGGATGTTGGCAGAACTTCTGTGCATATTGGTACAAGGCCATTAAAAATAATTCAACTAATTTAATCACTTGATATTGCCATAATTGTGCGAAACGGGCAGATAAGCCATTAATAAAAGAAAAATAAGAAGAACTGAAAATATACTAACGCGTCTATAATGTGATATATCCCAAAATGTAGCCTTTGATTAAATACTTGAATGAAGCTTATTATTTACTTATTTCATATCGTGTAATTAAGTCTTAAAATAAATCCAGGATAAAAATTGCGATGCTCATAAATATTTTAATAAAAATTACCCCTATGCGATTTGGATTGTACAGTGACGATTTACTACGTTTCATTTAATCTGAAAAATATTCTTTCTTCATAAGGTTAAAAGTGCAAATTAACAATGAGAAAGTATTAAAAAAAAGAAAGCATCAAAACAGCACTTCCACTAGACGGCGATTCGAGCAAAAAATTGATATTTGCAGGAAACGAATGAACCAACGATAGTCATTTCAGTTCCTTTTATCTAACATATTAAATACGAAAAAGTACAAATAGAATATGAGTTGTTTATTGAGTTTTGAAAACTAATTTACTTTTATACATGAAAGAAAATCGGAAGGGTTGTCGTGGAGAAATCAAGAAAGTACCGTAGTGACATCTAGTTTGATTTTGGAAACTATTTTTTTAAATACTTTCTCATTAAATTAGTATTTATAATTTTTTTGGTTGTAGTCCTATACATCTTAAACATTCAGCCAATTCATATACAAGTTTCGCAAGTCAATATTGCCCCAGACCCAAGTTATGAAGCTTAGAATCAGGCC